TATGCAAACGTTATAATGTTATTAGTCATATTGATAGTATTTCTGATTGAAACGGAGTATGTTATTGTGGTATGAATGTTTACCTAATTACTTACTTACAGACTGTTACTCCCAATGGAGCATAGGCCGTCAACCAGCATTCTCCAACCCATTATGTCCTGAGCCTTCCTTTCTAGTTCTATCCAATTTTTGTTCATTCTTTTTATGTCTATCTCCATTTCTCGGCGTAATGTGTTTTTTTGGTCTTCCTCTTTTCCTTTGGCATTGAGGATTCCATGTGAGTGCTTCCCTTATGATGCAGTTGAGTGCTTTCCTCAGTGTATGTGACTATAATATGATCTAAATGATGATCTAGAAACCAATGGTTACACTAGTATTAGTCTTATGATTATTGGTTCTAATAAATAATATTCTCATTCAGTCTATTAGCTGATTAAATGATTCGATGATTTATTCATATATATATATATATATATATATATATATATATATATATATATATATATATATATATATATATATATATATATATATATACGCGTACATTTAATCCTATACACACTCGACTCGTTGACTCACTCATTCACCTCTCCGATTTGTGGTCTGAGCTATATGCTAATAAAACTGTAGTCGCTTATTCTTTTTGTCTGCAGATTTCAAACACCGTTAGAGCTTATATAATAACGGTTACGACGGTGATTGATTAACGAAGCATAGCCACTATATTAGTTTAACTAGGGCATAAACTATCGAATAACAAGAGAAATATCACTGTCTTTCATATTTATCTAACATGATTGATTTCAACCTTTTTTGGCGTTCACATTTTTTCCAGACGAATTGGTACAAGTACATCAGCAAAGAATTTAAATACTATAAAATCGTTACGTGTACTACGCGTTCTTAGACCATTGAAAACAATCAATCGTGTGCCAAAATTGAAAGTTAGTTTTAAAATCATAATATTTTTTTATACCGTTTCATGTAGAAGAAAAAAAGGGAAAAGTTTTTTTCAATGTTTATTTAGTTTATATAGAATCGATTATACGTAAATTGATAGGTAACCTTGATTTCATTGAAGGATTATTAAGAACAGTGGTGATTTGTATTTTTTTTCTCTATCCAGTTATTCTTCCACTTTTAAACATCTATCCCTATTTCTAAAATGGTTTGTCATTATTCATGGTTCAATTGCTTTCTTGAAAATTACCTTACAATTTAAGACAAATGGCGATCTCAGCAACTGTGATAACTATAGGGGAATCACTCTTCTCTCAATACCAGGAAAAGTCTTCAACGGGGTATTGTTAAACAGGCAGGATTTCGTAAGTATAGATCATGTACAGACCAAATCGCAACTCTACGGACCATTGTGGAACAATCAATTGAATGGATATACACAAAGGGAAAAGCAAGATTCTCCGATACAACATAGCATGCACCAATTAAATCACAATTGACGGAGAGGCTTTGGAAGTTGTACAAACCTTTACACATTCGGGCAGCATCATTGATGAATACGGTTGATCTGACGCGGATGTGATGGCGCGGATCGGCAAAGCAAGAGCAGCATATTTACAACTGAAGAATATCTGGAACTCAAAACAATTGGCAACCAACACCAAAGTCAGAATTTTCAATAAAAATGTCAAGACAGTTCTACTGTATGTCGCCGAAACCTGGAAAACCACGAAAGAGATTATTCAGAAGATACAGGTGTTTATTAACAGCTTTCTACACAAAATACTTCGGATCTGTTGGTCAGACACTATTAGCAACAACCTACTGTGGCAGAGAGCAAATCAGATCCAAGTGGAGGAAGAAATCAAGAAGAGGTGAATATCCATTTTACCTAACCATAAGTAAATAGAAATTAAATATACAATGAGTCTATCTAATGATGAGTAACTTGATTTTAAGTAAGATAGCCTGGTTAATTAATTGTGAAAAATGAGGTTAGTGGTTGGAAACGTTGATTGATACGATATAGATCCATTGACCATTATCATATCGTAGATCTTGACTTTCCATATTCCTTCATAAATCTTTATTTTTGTACACTAATATCCAGAGTTTAGTTTGTATCACTATCGTTGATCAAACTGCTATCTCGAATTCTTAGCAGTTCATCTGGTTCATTGATGTAACAAAGTCTTTTCTCACATTTTTGCTGCAATCTACATTGATTATATTTGATGATCAAGCAATAGTCAATAGGAATAGAACTGGACATATAGTTGATGGATAATTCAAAGAAAAGTCAACCATATATCAGATTATGTGAACTCTGATTTAAACCTGTGGAATGAGTTCAAAACTATCGATTTAATTTAAAATAAGTTTTGTGATGTCGTTCTTAATGACAATGGACGTTTCAAATCATATCAGTCTGCATGTGGTAACAATCTTACGATTAATTTAGATAATGGTTAATCTCTGTCAATCCCTTTCATCTGACAGACAATGGTATTGTCATAGTAACAATTCGTTTATTTGTTTTGTATCTACGTGAACGTATATATTTAAAACGTATACTACAGCCTATACATATTTCTGTATAACTCAAATCTTGATTGCTTAAATACAGTGTAGTGTCTGTGATTATGTTAAGCCCAAATACCTTATTATTCTAACTTTCGGACAGCCCATTCTATTCATTCTATTTGAGTCACATTCTGACCTTGATAATTATTCGCTTATCAATATCTTGACCGTCTTTATATGAGCGCGTAGGTGTATGTACACTTCTTATCCCGTTACTCATCACATGTCTGTAATTTATTTTTGTGTGCTTATAAATATTGATTAACGCTTGGTTAACTGGGTGTTGGTTTACCAGCCATCTTCACAGCGCGCCAATTTAGCTTCGCTTTCTCATCTTCGTATCGTTCCTCCGTTCGTTTGTCTAGCCAACAATTATACGAAATATATGCATTCGAAACTCCATTCTCGTTATTTGACTTATTTAATTCCGTTATTAACTAACGCGATTTAAGTCAATGATTATATACGAGGATAGGCGATATCAATCATTCATACGATCAAATTGGAGTCAGATCTCGGGCCACTAAAACAGCTTCATGTATTATTCTCCCTTCCTCATATATATATGCTTGTAATATAAATATAAACTGTACTTTAACTCGCCATGTCTTTATTTGATATGACTATAAATTCGCCTCTATATTCGCTTGTAATGATTCGTCCGTCTTTTTGCTTCAAATCCACTTGATATGTTAGTAATTCTACGGTATGTGTGAACATCTAATAAATTGTAGTCGCAGTTTCATATCACTTTCTGAATTCAATCCCATGAATTCCCTGTAATAACAGTTATCAGGGTGAACATTTAACAAAGCAATGCGCATTACAAAAAGTGTTAAGCCCAACGTGTAAACACAACTCGATTTACTGTGATACAATTCAAACTTGTATAATTCAATATACTATATCCTATTAGAAATATACTACAAATGATATTCCTTTGAAATTTGTTCATTTATAATCTTATTAATAAATTGAACAATTGCATATATTTTTTTTTGTTGTTGCTTTACTTATCATATTTTTTCAGGCTGTATTTGATTGTGTAATCAGTTCACTTAAAAATGTTTTCAATATTCTAATCGTCTATTGGCTTTTTCAATTCATTTTTGCCGTAATAGCTGTTCAGTTATTTCAGGGAAAATTTTTCTATTGTAATGATGTTTCTAAAATGACAAGAGATGATTGTCAGTAAGTATTTGAATTACTATTATAAATACTAATTTTACTCTTTCACCTAATCTAGTCTATTGAATAATAATAAAGTCTTGATGGGATATTTTCTCGTTTTATAACTTACCTACTTATTATTAATATATTTTGTTAGTATCTAGGTAATAGGATGTTACATTATACCCCCGAAATGAATATTCATATGAGTAGACATATATGAATGAATATCAGTAGATAAACAAGAATAGTAATATTAATTGTTAAAAATTAACATTGAAATATGTATAGAGTCTTTTGATTTAAAATCATGTTTTTTTCTCTCTCTTGCTCTCATCAGTTGTCATCGGTAATTACAGTATGATGGGAATTTGATTCGAAAATCAGAAATCATTGATGTTACATTAGTATCGAATGAAAAGAAAAACAGTTTATGTCTCTCATTTCAGGAGTGTTGTAGATAAGTAGAGAATTTTTTTCTTAGTTAAGATATCGTCATTCTACTTACTACTGATTGTGAAGGTTTGTATTATTCCACTATTAATATCGAGGATCGAGACTAATCAATCATTGATGATATATGGGATTCATCAGAGAATAATTAGATATCGTTCATACTTACAAACTGAACATATTTCGATTAATGGATAACAGTTGAATGATGAACGAGTTTTTAAAAGCGACGGTAGGATTTAATTACTGTATTCATTCATCTGTATGTTTGAGTTATGATGCTTTGAAACATGGTATTTGAGAGCACTACTAGTATATCGAGGAAAATAGTAAACTGGTTGGTCACACTTCGTGTGAACAAACATGAAAAACGTAGCACATAGACAATAACTGTCATACTTAAATTCATAAACGGAGCTAATTATATGGAAAAGACGTTGAGTGAGATTAATTTCAAATGTTAAACGCGAACAAAACCAAGAGGATCGGACATTTGTTCGAACCAAATATGAGTCGAAGTATTTTATAAAAGCTCTTATCAACAAATGATGTATTGAGATGAATTCTCTGTAACTTTATGCAATATTAAATATTTTAACTCTCAGTTTATTTTCATACTAGCTCACACAGTTTCTCCAAAATAGACTATACAATTATGTTAAATTTGTTGAACTACTTACATATTTGCTAGTAGTCCATATTTCAATAATTAAATAATTTGTTTTTGAGTGATTATATTTTTTTGCTTACATTTAGGGGCCAATTTATTGACTATAATGATCGGGGTGATCCATTCCTTCAGAATCGTACATGGCGTACACGCGACTTTAATTATGATAATGTAATTCATGCCATACTTACACTATTCACAGTGACAACTGGTGAGGGGTGGCCAGCGTAAGTAATTAACTTCTTAATAAATATATTTAGTTTCCGTCGTAATTCAGTGTTCAATTATTGAGGATCTATATTTTTAATAATTCACCATTATTAGGAATGTCTTCTTTAGTAATTTCATAGACGTTATATCATATAATACTTTCATATTTTGATCTCTCTATTTGGTTTGAAAGATTGATAATGTTTCAAGTAAGATTACAAGAAAATTCGTTATCTCATTCAAATTGTTATTCCTAGTTTTCTTAGGTTAAAATACTAATGGCATTTATCCTGATCTTATATTTTAGTTATTCTAGTTTAGAAATTACAACTTATCTGTCATAAATCCAGCTTTAGTGTGAAGTATAATTTACAGGAAATCGTCACTAATTTCCGCAATACTTATTTATTAAGCGAACCGTTAAAAAGATTTCTGAATGCTCAAATATAATTTGTTTGACCGTAGTTATGACATTTCACGTGGTGTAGTGAAACGTTTGGGGTTACACTTGTATTCTATCCCTTAATAGTCGAAGTTCGCCACCGGGAATTTATAGTAACTAAAAATTTATTTGCTTAAAATGGATTCTTAAAAGGTACAAACCAAGGTACAACACTGAAAAAATTGGTTCCTGCCAATTTAGAATTAATGAAGACTTTCGACTAATTTCTTTGTTCATCTGCTCTTAGAATTTTCAGATATTAGATACCATAAAAACGTGATTATTAAAGGAATTTTTTATAAAGGAGCAAATGCGTTCCATTCATGTTTATAGACAAGAGATGGTAATAAAACTGATTAAATTTGAATATCAGACGAACGAAAGAATCCATAAACAAGTTCTCATTTAAGGATACGGGTATACATGTTTTTCTCAAATATTCGAAAGCAGTCTCCCGAAACCCACATCAGTTATAAACTTACACTTGAAAATCAGGATATAGGATTACCGTGTATATAAGGGGTGACATTTTAACTGTTATATCCTTTTTAGATTGGATATACTCCTTGTGAATACTGAAATTCATAAGTTTGTATTGTGCAAATTCTAGTCCTAGACAAAAAAGACGTTAACGATAACTTAAAAATCGTGCAACACTAATTCTGACAAATACCACTGTTCAAAAACTGAATAATCTATTCATAAAAATCACTCCACATTTAAGTGCTTCGACATAAACTCTCTCAATTACATGCAAGTTTTTGATTATAAAGATGATATGTGAAAAATGTAGAAATACTGAACGTTAAAAGATCATTATAGAAATTTGTGGTGTAGCTCTAGTGATATACTTATGTCAAGGAGAATACTTCATCGAAAACCTGTCTGCCTCTCATTTTTTAGGACCAAAAGTATACAAACTTGAGGTAAATTAACGAGACTATTCAAACAAACGTCTGTTGGATCATTCTTCGTCACGGATCTAGCCTAAACTAAAATTTCAGTTTTAAAATGTAGAACGTCGAGATGAACTACTTAATTTATATTAAGTAGTTAAAATACAACTCAAAATAATGGTTATATGATGCATATAGGATGTATACAGCGTGATGAAATTCAGAAAGAAGTATATTAATACATTAAATCTTATTACGGAATTTCTTGCTTTTGTTCATATGCATATTGGATAGAACAAAATCCTTGAGTCTATGGCTGACATATAATGTCGTAGGTGATCGCATTTAGGGAAAGAATAAACAATCACCTATGTGATTTATCAGGGTTATTTTTCAACATTGCTCAATTTTAAGGGATATGTTATCATTAGAGTGGAGTGATAACGTAGATGTTAATACTAATACTACTACTAATAATAATAGCGATCATGATAAAAAAAGGCGTTATTCAGTACTATATGTTTAGTTGAATGTAGTATTCTTAGCCTATAATATTATAGCAAATAAATAAGCTACTATTAATATCTCATTCTAATGATAAAGCTTAAATCTTTTAAACTAGCAATTCATGTTGAAAATTAACCTTCGATAGTCAATCAGATGCTTTCATTGAAACAGTCAATCATAGTTATGAATAAAGTTTTATTACATAATAAACCTACTGAAATTTGACTCTTTTCGTTTTTTTAAATATCCACTTGTTACTGAAAAACACCTAAAGTTTATATACATAACTATATTGAAAACGAAATGACTTATTTGATATCACAATATACAAGCCATATTAAGTAGTGACCTGGTTTAATATACGGTCTACGTGTTCCTGTCATCTAGATATTTCAACAAGTTATCTGTTTTTTGTGCGTTTATGAAAAGTTTATAACCCTTCACTGTACAACTTACAAAAATGTACAATTAGAAACATCGTGGTGGTTAGAAATATGCATTGAAAAGAATAAACATTACTCAGATATTGATTACTGAACTGCTAATATCTAAATATCAATCACTCAATATGTCATCGTCAGGATCAATCAAGAAATAAGAAAAAAGGAAACTTGTTGAAATAGTTTGTTCTGAGAATTGTTTATTTTACTAAAAAGTATAATATTGAATAAATCTATTAATAATAATATGATTCCATAAAACCTATGAACTATGAAGCAAAATCTCTATTGCATAGATTCACTTGGCGTTCTTTTAGTTTCATCTTCTTATTGTTGTTTAGGATTGCAATTGATCAGTCTCTGGTTGGCATATGTACATCCTGTGATTATTGTCTCGATATTGACTTAAGTCACAAGCTTCATAAGCGAAGATGGATAGTGGCTAGCAGTGGAATTCAGGAAGCACGTTTCGTCCTATTTGGGACTCGTCAGCTGGATGTGCCTGAATCCCAGAGTTGATGTTCACTCCAGGATGCAAGCACATCCAGCTGACGAGTCCCGAATAGGACGAAACGAGCATCCTAAATTTAACTGCTAGCCACTATCCATCTTTGCTTAAAAATCTCTATCGCTTGTTATAAATTTACAAGTTGTAAAGTCATTAAGAAATGATATGTCATTATTCATAGACGATTTAAACTACATTCATCATTAACTTTCATGAGTTTGTGTAAGTAAATGTATAAGCGATTTACTAATATATTTAGCTACACGGTAACTTTCAAATTAATATTTTAATAGTAATTTAGTCATACGACTATGGAGTGAGGTACAGTCGGTTACATATAATAAACATTTTAATGAAGTCTGACTCCAAAAATGGGTGAGATTATAATTTGTAGACGACCTTTGAGTGAAGTTAAACTGACCTGTAGAATGTCCACCTAATAACCACGACCAAATGAAGGTTATAAACCTGCGTGAGGAATTAGAATTATGATTACAATTGATGGTTAAGGTAAGGAATTAGATTTGGGGTTTTCATCACGAACTGACATCAGCTATAACGCCAAAACTCTATTTAACCAAATGGATGAATGAATTTCGCGCCAAAATCTGAGGCTTGTTTTCTTATACCTGATTGACTCGTCCATAAATTATAGTCTCGCCCAAAAATGTTCAGTAAGTGAATTCAATTTAATGGAAGTACCTTGTAAATGACATTTAGCAACAAAATGTTTTTATTTTTCTATTAAAATTTAATATTTAATGAAATTCTTCAACATTCAAACATTAAGTGCCGTATGACAGATACTGAGATAGTGGGGAAATTATAGCTCAAAAGGAAAAAAACACTTGACACCTTTGTTTAATTTTTCATCGATTTTCACCTTCCTAATTTTTGTTTTACACATTGCAATTCTAATCATAAATATATGAAAATACATTTTAAGTACTCTAGTTTGTTTTGTTAGAATCTGGTAAAATTTAGGGGAGTACTTTTATTACCAACAGATACAATCTACAACACCACTGGAAAGATGGAAACATTAAGTATATATATATATATATATATATATATATATATATATATATATATATATATATTGTCTTGGTCAATAGTAAAGACACATATACCAGGAAAATACAAGTATAAGAGTGAAGAGTATAACATTAAGTAGTTGAGTTGTAACTTCTTCATACTTTTAAATTTAGTCGATAGGTAAAACCTCAAATTACAATTTTTGTTCAGTGGTGAAGATTAGTATGAGAAAATTTAGGAAAGAACTTTAATGTCAAATTAACATATGTTTCCAAGTCTTGATTTTATCTTTTTTACTTATGTACTTCATTATCGTTGAATCTCTCCTTTGACTCTCTTGTATCAAGACTACTAGGGGATTGTTGGGGATGATAAATCCCCCAAAATTTCACATTTGTAATTTTATCGATTAACTTATCGATCAAATGTTTAAATATTTGAATAGCAATCAATTGACGAACTTATTGACGAATGTTTAAAAATTTAAATGACAATATCGATTATATATATTTGTATATATATGTTTTAAATTGTTTTGGTTGAATCGCTCGTTTCTCGTTGTTGCAGGATATACTTCTCATTTCAAGCCTGGACTTCTCACTCTAGATAGCTGGGGCTGGGACGCGTCATTAGCTAGCATACTAGTCGTTGGTCACCGAATCTCGTTCTCGTTCGCAATTTACGTGAACTCGTTAAGCTTCAAACCTAACAAGGATTTAATACATCAGCTTTAATATTAGATTCATTTGAAATTTATTTGATTTCTGACTCAAAATGACTGAATTTAGTGTGGTTTCGGTTATTATGTTGAGCCCATTCTAGCTTTCGAACAGGCCAATCTTTTCATTCTAGTTGAGTAGTATTCCGACCTTGTTAATGATTCGCTTATCAACCTTGAATGTTGTTATATGAGCGCGTAGGTGTGTGTAGACTTCTTATCCTATTCGTCACATGCCTGTAGCCTATTTTTGTGTGACTATAAATATTGATTCACGCTTTAGTAAAAGGAGTTGATTTATCCGCCATATCCACTGCGTGTCGTTCTGTTTCGTTCTATTCCATTCACTTCATATACAAAATATATGTATTCAATAGTCCATTCTAGTTATTTGACTTATTTAATTTCATTATTGACTAACGCGATTTAAGTCGATAATTATGTACAAGGATAGGCGACATATGTATTTCAATAACAATAATTCATACGATCTACTTGGAGTCAGATCTCGGGCCACTAAAGTGGAGAGTCCGTCAACAAACATCGTCCTACCTAAATGATCACAAAATAAGCGGCCCCACACTAGCGCTATGTAACGTTGTAAATCTGTTTATCATTCCATTCTATTCAGCTAATATCATTCCACCTAAAACCTTTTTTTTTCTAAATACTGTGTTTCATTCATTGATATTATCAATATTTTATTAATCTATTAAACGTAACACATATTTTAACACAGTTTATGTACTTTTGGTTGTTCTCTTTTTGTTGTTTTTGTTATCCTTATATAGAGTACTTAAAAATTCTATTGATTCAACAGTTGCTGATCGTGGTCCATCACCAGATTTTCGTCAAGAGATGGCTATTTTCTATGTGGTCTTCTTTATTGTATTTCCATTCTTTTTTGTAAATATTTTTGTGGCACTTATTATTATTACTTTTCAAAATCAAGGTGAAAATGAGCTAATTGAATTAGATTTAGATAAAAATCAAGTTAGTAGTATTTTTATTTTGAATAAAATTATTTATTATGTAAATTTACGATCTTATAGATAAGCTGATGCGGAAAAAAAAAACAAAAGTCAGCGAAGGGATCTCTTTTCAACGAATTTATTATCAAGCTGTACAACGGTATATATATATATATATATATATATATGTTTTGTTAAAGTACTAGTTCCGTGACGAAATGTAAACAAGGAATAACCAAGATGATGTAATGGAAGGATTATAATGCTAGATTACGTAACACGAATAATAAGAATAGACTTCATAAGTTAGTAGCGATTATTATGCTGTATATAGGATTCGTTCAAGTCTACTTGCTAAAAATAGCCAAAACTCTTACCATCCATGAGTTCAAACCAGAACTATGTATACAAAAGAAGTACGTCCTATAGTTATCGTTACCTTAGCCTTAATTATTATTATTATTACTGCATTCCTCCCTTTACTCATGTCTCATATTCTCATTATTTTATTCATAATTGCTCATGATATCAGTTTATTTACCTTTTACACCTCTATGACCTTTATTGACCTTTAATAAAAACATTTTAATCATGTTACTACATTGACGTTATAATTCGTTACTAACTTATTAAGTCTATTGTTAATACTCATATTACGTAATCTAGTATTATAATCCTTCCATTACATCGTCTTGGTTATTCCATGTTCACATTTCCTCACGGACCTAGTACTCTAACAAAAAAAAAACAAAAAAATTTCAGATGTAGATATACGAATGTGTAGCTTGATAACAAATTCTTTGAAAAGATATCCCTTTACTCAATTTCGCGTTTTCAATGATTAAATAGGAATTATCTGTCGATTGATGTGAAATAACTTTATGTTACACAATAATTTCTTGTAATTAATATGTTTACAAACAAACTGTTTGTTTTGATTAGCTAAAAAAAATGAAATCCGGAAAATATTTCTCCATCCAATCAGAATTTCATCACTCGAACCAAATACCGTTCTATTCAAAAACTATCGCTTATCACTGTAGATGATATTCGAGGCTGTTCGCACAGCAAACGCATATGGCAATATGAGACTGGTCAATTTCAATCCTAAGCGTCAATCGGAAGATTCAAACAATCAATATTGAAATGAAATAAAACTTCACCCCATTACACAATCTAGTGGTTATCTGGACTTAGTAGCTAAGTTGACAACGTAACGTCGTTTGAAGCGAACGGTTTTTGGTTCAAGATCCGGAATGAACATCAACTGTGTTATGCCGTCACATCCAAATGACGATTCCAAAATAGGACAAAACGTGCGTCCTGGATTTCACTGTTCGCCACCATCCATCTCTGCTTAAAATGGTTGTGATTTAAGGCAATAATTAATATTTAAAAAAATTGAAATTACCATTAAATATATTACTTATTTTTATTTTATTAAACTATGAATAATTTTTCAAAGATTAAAAACATTCATTTGATTGACATATCAAGTAACTAGTAAATAATCTGTTACATTTCACCTCAGAAAAGAACATATAATATATTTTACCTTATATATGTTTCAGAAACGCTGTATTGATTTTGCTATTAATGCTCGCCCATTATGTCGGTATATGCCAAAAGATAGACGTTCATTGAAATATCGAGTATGGCGTCTTGTTGTCTCGACACCATTTGAATATTACATCATGGTTATGATTGCAATTAATACTTTAATTTTAATGATGAAGGTAAGTTTGACTATTTTTATTCTAAAAGAAATACTAATTGTATGTCACATGTTCGGTACAAGTTTAAAGGATTAATTGTGAAACTATAATTTATGGACGAACAAATCACATATAAGATAACAAGTCTCGGATTATGGCGCAAAATTCACTCATCCATTTGGTTAAATAGAGTTTTAACATTATAGCTGATGTCAGTTAGTGATGAAAACCCCAAATCTAATTCCTTACCTTAATCATCAATTGTAAATCATAATTCTCATTCCCTACACTGGTTTATAACCCTTTAGTTATTAAGTGGACACTCTCCAGGTCAGTTTAGAGTCATTCAAAGGTCGTCCATAAATTAAAGTCTAACCGACCATTTTTAATTTAGTTGAAGTTAATTATACAATTCATAAAACTATAAAATCCTATTCACATTCGAACTTGTTTTCTGTTATTCGATTCATTTAAAAAATTTTGTTGGTTTATTTTCTTATTTCTTAAGTTTAAAGACTAAAACCATTTTGAAGTCGTTACAAAGTATTGTGTATAAAAGGAAATATGTGAACGTGTAGTGTTTTTGCTTCATTAACCAATCAGCCTTATAACCGTTATTATATAAATTTCAAAGGTGTTTAAAATCAGAAGGCAATGAGAAGTAGCAACTACAGTTTATTAGCGGATAGCGCAGATCGAAATCGATGAGCATATCAAGCGAATTTTAAACAGAAAGGTGAATATGTATATGCGAGCAATTACATAGGTGAATTTGAGCCAAATTGCATAAGGGCGCAGCAAGGCAAATAAGTATTAATAATCGGGTTTCAGTACATATATACATGCGAAAGAGAATGAAACATCGAGTGATATTTAAGCGATCAACACTTTAGCTAGAGTCTGTCTTGTGATCTAGTGACCGTAACAGTACAAAGAAATATACGAATTGTTACTATTCAAATAACATTGTCTGTTAAGAAAGTTAATAAAAGAGCTTAACTAAAATCAACCATAATCCAAATTGTTTGTAGGATGGTTACCATAACCGTACTTAATTGATGTATATAAAATAACTGAAGTAGAACACCAAAAACAGAAACTAAAGTGACAATTCTTTCAAAACACATCAATCTTATAATAAATCTGATTAACATATCCATCAAGGAGTATAATTTTAAACAAGTAGATAAATTAAGAGATCTACGGGGGAAAAGAAAAACACCAAGATTATATAAATTGCTTAAAACCTATAATAACTGTTCATCCATATGATCAGTTTTAAATATGACTAATTTCATCTGTTAATTCAAAATGAAACATCTATTATAGATCCCTAAATCACAGTAAAAAATAAAGCTTAGAAAGTTATTATCAAAAGGGATTTTGTGTAGATTTTAGTAATTTCAATAGTTAAAATCATGAGTCAATTGAAGCTAGATCACCATGGTAAACCGGGAAGCACCGAACGACGGTTTTGCCCCAGTATAGGACTCCTCAGCAATGCGCACTCACTATCCTCTCTTCGCGAGATTTGAAGCCAAGACATATCAGTCTCGCGCGCGAGCGCTTAATCATTAGACCACTGATCCGGTGGGTATCCTAAGGTGTTAATGTCTAACTCCAACCAATCCACGAAATTGCGCCACCATCCACCACTGTCTGATAGGTCCTGGGTTCGAACTTCGCGGGGACAGGATCATAGATGTGCACTGCTGAGGAGTCCCATACTTGACGAAACGGCTGTCCAGTGCTTCCAGGTTTTCCATGGCAGTCTAGGTTCAATTGACTCATGATTTCAACTATTGAAATTAGAGAGTTATATAAAGAACTCCTATGATTTTCTCTATAAAATAAGAATAGTCGATAGATAAGACGGAATTTATTATATCTCTCTAGACGTAATGAATTTTCTCCCCAATGTCTGCTACCTAGGTAACGTGCATTTCATATTCAGTAAACCGACTGAAAAAAAGAACATAAAAACTGGGGCCCATTTTTTTACCTTGATAGAGTCAATTATCTTACTTACTTACGCCTGTTACTCCTCGTGAAGGAGCATAGGCCGCTCACCAGCATTCTCCATCGAACCCTGTCCTGGGCAATTATCAGGTATACGATAAATTTACTCTCTAAACTTCACAACGAATTTTGCAGGCAACTGGATATGGTCACAGTAAGATAATCATTGAGCCTATTCCTTGTAGGTAATTTCTTGATAAAACTAAAGAATCGTTTACTTAAGACTGAAATAAACCAATTAGTATTTTATGACCACTACATAGACGACACTTTTATTGCATTTGTAAGTGCAATTCATAAGATTAATATTCTTAACAGGACTTGATTATATCAAACCATTTTTCCTCTTTTCATCAGAGGACGAACGGAATAATATTGCCCTCTATTATCTTAAAGAGAGCTCTCTTAAAGGAATAATAGTGTTTGAGTCCTAGACATTTTTTAATATAAGGATTCAAGCGAACGTTTAAAAGAAGTATATGTAGGAGATCATCATCTAGTCAATAAATTTATATTCTATACTTCTCCGGTACACAATAAACCAAGCAAGAGATCCGACACATAATGACAAACTTATTTGCTTCTATAAAACCACTGAATATATTCCAGATACTTCTAGACCAAGACAACGTTGGAGAGAATCACAACACCTCAGGTACTTGTATTTCTGAAATTATGGCTTATAAACGACAATATTATTGAACTGATTACCCAACGGGTAGAGAAGGTTTTGTAAAACTTAGATATATGTCGTATTCTACAACCCTCATTATGACCAGAAATAAGTATATGCTTCGTTTACACTGTCTCATTTAAATGAATTGAACAATTTAGACAACCCATGAAGTCATTTATTTCATGTCTACAGTTAAGTTAAACAATAAATTTCTGAACATCATCCTAAATGATTAAATAGGGTACAGTTAGGGTTAGGCAACCACTTTGTACTTTCCCACTTAGTTAATATGAAACCTTAAGTGGACATGAACAAAGCCTTTCAAATCATCAACAGGATTTCAAAAATTTAGTTCATAATTTACACCTACCGTTTTAGTATATGTTGAATCCATTGCCTTCCATGTTAACTAACCTGACCTCTTTATACATAGGAAATTTATACAACCAGTCTTCTCATATTGATCAACAAAATAAATAGCACAAGACTAGGTTGATAATGACTAAGTACACTCTCATTGTTGTGTTTTCTTTCTCAAAACTTTTAGTCTTTTTTCGTTGCTACATGATTGTAATATTCATTTTATTTTTAAGTTACTGTAATCTATATTGAACCCCTTATTATTAGAATTACGTCTATTCTTTTGTATTATAATAATGAAATCTATCAATTCTATGATTTGATGCTTTAATCCATTTATTTATTAATTAACGCCGATAAGTATAAGTTACTTTGTTCATTTCATCTACTAATTATGTTACTACTTCCAAGTAAATTCTGTGAACATAAAATAGGCAAGAGTTTAACATTATGCACAAGGTAATAATAAACATTTCAAAGGTTTTACATCAATGGTGGAGAAGATTTGTGGCTCATGTGGATAACTTCAATGGAGTTTTGTTCTCTGAGCTGGATGGTTTGGTTGTGGAGCTTTTATCGTTCTTCTGAACGAAATCATCAGCACAAACTTCTATCAGCTCAGATAACAAAACTCCATCAAAGTTTTACGTCAATGTTTATTATACACAGTTAAGGTAATAACCACTAGAATTTTCTAATCAAACGTATCTTTGTGACAAAAAACAATCGTTCCAAGCGATTTATCAAACATTATGTCACATCTATAATCATTTTAGTCGGGGAATGGTGAATATTAACTCTTATTATTATTATATTTTATTGCTTTCTTTATTATCGTTATATTCAATCTTCTTTTACACATTATTCACATAGCTTGTTAATTATTCATTCATTTTATTATTAATCAAATCCATACATAAATATTCCTAATAAACTATGTATGTATAATCCCATAGTAGAATGATTATTATCATCAATTTTATCCAGTCATTTATATAGTTTTATTAGAATTCCGTTTATTATATTGGTTTAAATGTTCTATACAACTATTTATATCTGTCAATGTAAAGTCTAACAAAAAATTACTGTTAGAACCTATGTCCTTGTGCCCTATTATTACATAACGTAATGATACCGGCAATTAGAGAATAGTGACTTATCGACCGGACCAATCACACATTAACCCGTACGAACAGTCTAGAGTCTTTACCGGTCCTGCTTCCCGCCTAGCCCTGCCTGTTAAATCAAGAACATCAATCTCAGCCTCCGTGATATGAATCATATATTTCAAATATACTGGGTTTATATACAAAGCAAACAGATCACATCGTACCATAAAATACAAAATAACATTTGTGCAAGATTTAACCAAAAGTGGCTGTGAATGTGGGAGACTGTAATTAATAAACTGGGTATAACTCAAGAACGGTAAATCATATAATAATAGTCTATAGATTAAAATAAAGCTTATAATAGGGGAAACATAAATATGCATAGTTTAGCTACTTGACAATTATACAGTAAAAATATATGTATCGCATTCGTCCATAAACAGTTCTCAAATGTTACCATTCATAATTCTCGTCTGGATATAACAATGACCAATCATAAATATTTCCTCCAATTAATTTTTCATTTTATCATAACGGAAATATTATAGTTTTGTAAAACTTTAAGCTGAATAATAAACTGGTAAGGACAGATTATTACTAGTATTGTACTTTAAGACATTTCATCAGGTTTCAACTTCTTAAGATTATTATACACTTAATTGTATTTATATGTAAGCGTTTCCCCGGGGTCCACTAGCTGAGAAGATAAGGATATAGCTTTTAAAACTAATTTTACCACTTACTTACTTACTTACTTACGCCTGTTATTCCTAATGTAGCATAGGCCGCCGACCAGCACTCTCCAACCCACTCTTTCCTGGCCCTTCTTTTCTAGTTCCATCCAATTCTTGTTCATTTTTCTCATATCTATCTCCATTTCTCTGCGTAATGTGTTCTTTGGTCTTCCTCTCCTCCTTCGACCTTGAGGATTCCATGTGAGGGCTTGTCTTGTGACGCAGTTGGGTGTATTCCTCAATGTGTGTCCTGTCCACTTCCAGCGCTTCCTCCTGATTTCTTCCTCCACTGAGATCTGATTTGTTCTCTCCTACAGTAGATTGTTGCTTATAGTGTCCGGCCAGCGGATCTGAAGTATTTTGCGTAGACAACTGTTAATAAACACCTGTATCTTCTGGATAATGGCTTTCGTGGTTTTCCAGGTTTCGGTCCCATACAGTAGAACTGTCTTAACATTTGTCCTGAAAATTCTGACTTTGGTGTTGGTTGCCAATTGTTTTGAGTTCCAGATGTTCTTCAGTTGTAAATATGTTGCTCTTGATGAGATGAAATTATTATTATAATTATTATTATTATTATTATTATTATTATTATTAATTCTCAGCGTTCTAGTGAGGAGCCATGACTTGTGGAATTCAACCATGTTGGGTATTAAACAATTAATCAACAATAGTTTTAGGAGGTATCTGCAAAATATCACAAAAATAGATCGAGTTCTAAGCCATTTTATGTCGACTCAGTAATCTAAATAATAACCATTTTTCTCCAGAACTAATGATCATTTTCTCTATTACCTGTGAGATTTGTACATAAGTACTATTGATGAGTCTTATACTATCATTAAAATTAGTTTTCCAGTACTTCCTAGGTTTTCTCAATGTTTGTCTAATCAAGGTCATATCATGATGTAAACGATGATCTTAATACAACCAATCATAAATACCATATCCTATAAATTGACAGGTAATTTAGTTATTTTTTGAGAAAAAAATACATCCTAATAGTTATTAACTATAAAAAAACTCAAATAACTTCTCATCTTTTCATTACTTCCAGTCATTAAATGTTAATTGGTTAAACAAGAGTTAAATACGGATGAGTTTGGAGCTATTTTTTTTTTATTGGGAAAAATAACTTCCCATCGCATTAATCATTCCACTTGTTTGTTGTTTTGTCTTTGATTGTTTGTTTGTTTTCTATTTTGAAAATAAAATTAGTTGTCATTCGCATATTCAACTGTATTTTTACAGAGTCTAGAAACAGATCATTTAGTATGTTAGAAACCATAAATAACGTTATAAACTTATACATGATATACAATGGTAATTCATTTACCTGGAACACCAACTATTATGAATAATCAATAGTAAATCTTTTAATTTTCTCTTTTCAATTAGTTGCATATAATTGTAGAGATGGAAAAGGCAAGCTTTTGGTTAGGAATTATTATTAACAGAAAGAGGGGAGGTTTTATGGAGATTATAGTAATTTAATAGTTGAATCCATAAGTCAATTAAAGCTAGACCACCATGGAAAACCTGGAAGCACTAGACGGCTGTTTTGACTCATGAAATTAACTATTAAATTACTACAATGTCCACAATACTAACTTTTTGATAATTATCATCATGCGCTCACTAGTGACTGGCTTCAAGAGGTATTTCCTGGAGTTCTAGTGAAAAACCGTGACCAGTGGTGTTGAACCGCGCCTATTGTGAGGCAGTAAATCACTGAAGACAATAGTGGACGGTTGCGCAATTTTGTGGATTGGTTGAAGTTAGACATTGACACTGCTTCTAGGTTTTCCATAGTGGTCTAGCTTTAATTGATTCATGATCTCAACTATTGAAATCCAGTACTTCATGGTTTATAAGGATATCCGAACTGTAATCAATCTGTGGTGGATAAAATCCTGAAATAAAAACAATCTTCAGAAACTTATTAATTGAAATATATCATAAGTCAGCATTAAAAATATTACAAAGCTACATAACATATGTACATTTAACTAGTTAAATGATCATCCGACTTTTCGTTTTTCTGGTTTCAATTAATAGTATCATCGTCAAGAACAAAAGGCGTATTTTACTGCTTCCGTTGATACTGAACAACAAGCTTATCATAACTATTGTAATACACTATTGTATTTCAATTCTGCTTTCACTGTTATGTTCTCTGTGGAATGTATGCTGAAAATTATGGCTTTTGGACCAAAGGTATGTAGCATTATGAAATGTGATATTTTTCGTTTTCTTTATTTCCTATTAGATAAATGTATTCCAGGCACGATAGGTGTTATTTTAGTGAATAAGAAGTAATTATTATTAAATTAATTGTCATTAATGCTGATTTATGCCAAGAAATCACAAAAGTTTCCAATATTTCTCTGTATTAAATACAGTTAGCTGTTCAATGGCTACAAATGATCAATAACTAAACCTGCACTCCTTATTCCATTTATTCTATTACTTATTATCTGAATAACAGCAATTACGTTCAACGGTTCCAATCAATTGTCTTATTTAAATATGATCAGAATGAAGGTTTGTGGAGAATGTAGTAATTCTAATAGTTGAATATATGAGTCGATCAAAGCTAGACCACTATGGAAGACCTGGAAGCACTATACGGTTGTTTTGTCCTCGTCAGAAGTGCGCATACACGATCCCGCATGCCGGAGTTCAACCCAGAATCCTCAGGTTTTCAATGGTGGTCTAGATTACATCGAATCATGAATTCAACTATAAAAATTATCACACTCTCCACAAACCCCCATTCTGATCATAATCATCATGTGCTCACAAGTGACTGGCTTCGAGATGATTTCCTGGAGTTCTAGTGAGAAGCCATCAACATTAGAGTCCAATACGTATGTATCCACTCAGAAAATGAATGAATACTTGCACATTCATTCATAGATTGATTGAAGTCAGACATTAACACCGTTGGATTCCTGCTTAGTGGTCTACAGGTTAAGCATTTGAGTGCGAGATCAAAGGTGCTGGATTCGACCCACACATATGGAATCATGGGTGCACACTGCTAAGGAGTACCATTCTATTTCAAAACGGCAGTCCAGATCTCCCATGATTTTAATGGTGGTCTAGCTTACATTGACTTATGAATTTAACTATAAAAATTGTCTGAATGTTAAACAACTGACGGGAACGATAAAGCTAACACTAACATTTATTGCTTCATTTTTATTTTGTTTATTTATCTTCATTCATAAATAAAAATTTTATGTTTTCTTAAAAATCTACTAATCAGAAGAGATAAATAGTGGATAAAATTTTTCTCACACCTCAGATCCAGATTATACACAATATTTTATTTTTTAACCGTTGAGTTCATGAATCGATCTATTCTAGATCACGATTGAAAACCTGAAAGCATTGTATGGTCGTTTCATCCTAGTATGGGACTCCTCATCAGCGCGCAGCCACGATCACACCCGCGGGACTCGAACCCATTCAGTGCTTTTGGGTTTTCAGTGATAGTCTAGCTTAGATTGACTCATGAATTCAAATGTTAAAATCAATACAATCAACATAAATCCTTATTAAGATTTTCATTTTTCTCCTGTTAACTTATACGTATATATATTTCTTGAACGATCCTGACGATAACATATTAAGTGATCGCCAGGTGACTAAGTTATTCATGCAGGTCGATTTAACCATTTAATTATTGATTTACTTTAGTATCATTCCTTTAATTTATCTTTTCATTTTTCAGAATTATTTCCGTGATCGTTGGAATATTTTTGATTTTATTACAGTTATAGGAAGTATTACTGATGTATTAGTTTCTGAATTACAAGTAAGTGTATTGTTATTTCGGATAAAAATGATAAATTTAGTTCAGTTAAAATATGTGTTGTGAGACGTGGTTGATGAACTTTGAATAGCTAAACTAATTGGTTATTCTCACCTGAGTGTTCATTTACAACAGTATCACTTACACATATGTGTTATAATTTGAACCCCTACCGATAAATTGTCATAGCTGCCAACAGTCAATAACTGAAAATCCTTCACATTAAACTGTTTAATACATTCCACTTCAGTTTCATTTTTCCATCAATATTTCACTGAAATTATTTTCATAGACATAGATTACAAAGCTTCAGTATTCAGATTAGCTAATAACCGCCATGAAACCAGAATAATTTTTCGATGAAACTGTAAAGTAGCCTAAGGGGGAGGGTTTTAGAATAGAAATTCTTTATATTTTACTTGGTTTTAATAAATAGATGTTTTGTTTCTTTCTCCAATTCAGTGTAATTTAATTATTAAAATAATTTTGGATACTTCACTTTTGCTGCTGAATCTTACCAATAACCTTCATTCTTGTCAATGAAACCTAGAGATTGATATACTGATCAGTAAATCATTACCTAGCTTTTTATTTAAATAAGTTCTGTCATCATTATTCTGTTACACATATTTTCTAATCCAATCTACAACTAAGTTTTATTAGTCAGTACTTGTAATTGAATATTATTTGTGTATTATGCTTTACAGTCATTTTCTATACTTCATAGTATACAAACACTTAGTGAAACTTATATTTCAGATCAGTCAATTAAATAACAATGATTTTTAATCAAGTGATAATTGCCTCCAAATGCTCTGGTACGTCCGAGGTTAGGGAGAGTCAGCTATCCTTCACGAAATACTCTCACACGACCATGAATATACAACCACTGCTAGGAAAGTCTGACTCACTACCTTCTCGCGGTGAGGGTGTTGTTAACGAAATTGCGAGGACGAAAATCAAATGTTCATAGCTTTAACCAGGTTGGTGGATATGAAGAGTCCACCAAAGGAGTTGGAAACCTCTGAATCCAAACCAATGGTGAACATAGGCTCCAGGATCCTAAGGAAACGATTGGTGTATGAACCTATTGTTGGTCGCCGACTATCATGGCACTACATTTCCTGACGTAACTCCACTGCCCTGTGGATTAGACCTTTAGGCTAAGAGCTCCAGGTGTGACCCCCTAAGAAAATTACCTGCTTCGGTTTGGGCGCCTACACAGTATCCCAGTCCTCACACAAATCGAATGATTTATGTGATGCATATATATTTGGTGCCCTCTTTTACTATCGTTTATGTGTTTAAATAAACAAATGTTAATTTAACATCATAAATTATTCTAAATATCGAAACTTTTCATTTTAAAATGTGTATCCAATTCTCAGGTTACTAAGTTAAATTTTGTTTTTAAACAATTACTTGAATTTCCCATTTTGTTTTGCTTTATTCTTTTCTTTTTTTGTTTTAGGAATCAGCATTTTTGAGTTTAGGATTTCTACGTCTTTTTCGTGCAGCACGTTTAATTAAATTATTACGTCAGGGTTATAGTATACGTATTATTTTATGGACATTTATTCAATCAATTAAAGCATTACCATATGTTTGTTTACTGATTACAATGTTATTTTTTATCTACTGTATTGTTGGTATGCAGGTATGATAAATAGTACTAAACATTGTTATTCATATTACCATTATATATATATATATATATATATATATATATATATATATATATATATATATATATATATATATATATATATATATATATATATATATATATATATATATTGTAACATAGATAGTGTTAAGCCTGATACATGTAAAATGATTAACGCAAACCTGGTAAAATGCTCAAAATATATCATACTTAATTTGTTTAGGCTTGATTCTGTTTCCGTTAGAATTACATCAGAAACATCTTCTGTTTAGAATAAGATTGAATTTAGTGAATTAACAAAACGATGGTATAATATATAGCTTTGAATAAATTGTTGAATTTTATAGTTTATATCATAGATCAATAATGATTAAAAAAATATTAAAAAATCAGCAAGCCTTTTTTTTTGTCGTAGAATAGGGTTACTCAACAATCCACATCCACAACCTCAAAAGAGGTTGAAACAGGAATATTTAAATTTCTCTGTGACTGTGAAAATTTCAAATCATTAGTGTGGTTTTCAATGATTAAATTTCTAGCTGCAAATAATTTTCAGTGTTGCGCAACCAGTTTCTAAAAGGACTCGCTGGGTAACTGACTCATCTTTGATACAGTTGTACCCAACTAGTCAAATTTTGTAGATGCGTTAGACACTTAAGAAAAGATTTTTAAATGCTGCTTTTTCTATAGCTAAATGTGGTACTTTGAGTTTAGTAGTTTATTAGATTACTCTAATATTTACGTTATTTTTGGATATATCGCAAGTTAAAGTCAACACACAATTTCGTGATTATGACAAACTAATCAATAGTTACGATAAAAAGTTCTCAACAACTTTAGGCGTCTGTCCCATCAGTATTATGGTGAAAATTTGTGCAGCTTATGCAAAATATAATGCTATCATATTACGTCAATATAGACTTATAAAAGATGTTATTATGAAACTATCTCGTCAAGAATTAAATATACAGTTTTAAACACTTAGCCACTTTGATAAATTTAGATGATTGAATGAAACCATAAGGTTATCAGAACTACTTAATATATTATCCCAGTATAAATAGCTTATAACCATAGATGGATGCTAGTTAGCGATGGTGTTCAGGACGCACATTTCGATCCATGTTGGGACTCGTCAGTTGGATGTACCGGCATAACACAGTTGATGTTCATTCCGAAAGTCAAACAAAGAACCGTTCGTTTTAAAGGATATCTTATTATCAACTTAGCTACCGAGTCCAGATAATCACTAGCTTGTGCAATGAGGTGAAATTTTATTTCATTTTTGTATCGGTCGTTTGAATTTTCCCATTGATGTTTAGGACTGAAATTGATCAGTCTCATATTGGCGTATATGCATCCTACATGGATTGCCTCGATAATGCCTGCAGTCATAAGCGATGACGTTTGAAGCGAACGTTATTGGATTCGAGTCCCTGAGTGAACATTAACTCTGGGATGCAGGTACATTCAGTTAACGAGTTCCAAATTATGACGAAATACGTGTCCTGTATTCCATTGTTACCCACCATTCATCTCTGTTTATAATTCTTGTAATTTAGGGCATTATCAAAGCAATCTGCACACGATATACTTAAACCAATATGAGACTGATCAATTGGTGTCATAATCATTAACGAGACAACTCAAACAACTAATACAAAAAATGAATTAACACATTAACTTGTTTAGGGATTTATATTATGAAAAACATTAGGTCAGCTAGGCATACTGGAAGATAAGAAAAAATAGGTATATTAAGAAAAATAATATAAGTCATATCACTCTAGATAATGTACTAGATATATCCAGTGTAGATTCAATATGAGAACAAATCATTTCCAAGTACATATGAAACCTTTGAAGCTTAACATGCTCAAGCTTTTAATGAACCTTAATATACAACTGCTAGATACTTCCAAATAACACTTAAAATGAATGATTTACCATCAACAATATATATATAACCTATTCCAATTAAATATTACATAATAGATTAAGATGTTTGTTAAATTTATGTTCCTATCAGATAATTAAAATTTTCAGGAGTTTTGTGGATATTATAGTAATTTAATAGTTGAGATCATGAGTCAATTAAAACTAGATCACCATGAAAAACCTGGAAGCACTGGACGGCCGTCTCGTCCTATTGTGAGACTCCTCAGCAAAGCGCACCCACGATCTCACCCTCCTCAAGATTCGAACCCAGGACCTCTCGTTCTCGCGCGCGAACGTTTGACCTCTAGATCACTGAGACGACCGGCACCCAACGGTGTTAATGTCTAACTTCGACTAATCCAAGAAATTGAGCGACACAGTCACCATTGTCATCAGTGAGTTACTATCTCTCAACAGACCTGGTTGAACTCCACTGGTCACTGCTTCTCATTAGAAGTCCAGGAAATACCTCTTGAAGCCAGTCACTAATGAGCATATGTTGATTAAAATCAAAAGGGGTTTTGCGGATATCATAGTAATTTCAAAGGTTATTCAATATCTTACTTTAATTAGTACAAAATGAAAAGTTGATCAATATAATTTTCTTCTATTTTGTTTTTTATCGTTTCTCTATTATATTTAATTCTTTCTTTTAAAAGGTTTTTGGTAATATTAAAACAGATCCACATTCTCAATTAAATAATCATAATAATTTTCAAACATTTGGAGATGGGATACTTTTATTATTTAGGTGAGTGTATTTCTATTTTATTATCTTTTTTTGTTGTTTTGTTTCATATAAAATGAGTTTAATTTAGATAAAGAGAGAATTCAATCATTGCTTACTTAGACCTGTTACCCCGAATGGAGCATAGGCCGCCAACTAGCATTCTCCAATCCATTCTGTTCTAGGGCATTCCTTTCTAGTTCTATCTAATTGTTATTCATTCTCATATCTGTCTCCATTTCTTAGCGTAATGTGTTCTTTGGTTTTCCATTTCTACTTTGTGCTTGAGGATTTCAAGTGAGGGCTTGTCTGATGACACAGTTTGGTGCTTTCCTCAATGTGTGTCCTATCTACTTCCAGCGCTTCTTCCTGATTTCTTCCTTCATTACATAATATTTTATTAAAAGTAATAAAATGTAACAAGTTACTAAAAATTAAAAAATATATCCATATATGTATATATGTACCCAACAGTGATGATTGATTAAAATGAAAAATAAGTTTCAGTTGGTTAGCAACAATTTTAAAAATATCACATAAATAATAAAAATGAGTAAAAACTGTTTTCTTTTTGTCAGAGATTAAAATTGTAAGATCAACAATGAGTAGAAAAATTTTGTATTTTTCTTATTAAAGTGAATATTTAGTGGTCTCCAAATTTTTCAGATATTTTTCTCTCCTTTTATAGTAAATCATAATTTTTTAGGTAGTTGGAATTCTTATTTGATTATTAATTATTTTTATCCGTATGAGGTTGGGGAAATCGTTAAGTTTTTCATTGAGATACTGAATCAATTGATGTTACGCCAACATTAAACACGTGAAAGATCTGGACGGCTGTTTCATAATAGTGTGGGATTCCTCAGAAGTGTGGATCCATGATCTAGCAATTAGGCATCGAACTCAGGAACTTTGGCCTCGTGGGTGAACGCTTAACCTGTAAACCACCAAGCGGTAATCCAACGGCGTTAATATCTAACTTCAAGCTATCCATAATCTTGTGCAACCCTTCATTCATTGTGTGAGGTAGATACATGCCTCTACCCGATACGTATTGAACTCCACGGTTCACAGCTTCTCGCTAGAACTCCAGGAAATCATCTTGAAGAAAGCCACTAGTGAGTACTAGTGATCAGTCATCATCAATGCAGTCCAATGATCATTGTGTCATATCGTAGAATTTATAGATTTTGCTCAACCTAAACTATTTTATTTCTATTCAATAGTAAAATATTATGTTAGACAAAAAATTCGAAGCTTCAAATATTGTCATACTGTAGTGAAGGAGATTACAAGTGGGGATAATCAAATGTATTCGGATACAAAATTACTGAATCCATTAGTAAACTCTGTGAACCATACAGTAAATACTTCATTTGCAAAATGTTAATCAATCATCTCAGACTTTATTGTTTTTTCATTTTCACTGCAATCATTCTCTGTTCTCGTCCTATTTTCTTTGATCTTCTTAACCTTCTACCACCAAGCATTTCACTTTTGATTAATGATACATACTACTTATATCTATCGACATCAATAGCATATACTACATTACCACAATGAACATTTTATAAATAAACTAAGGATCAAATTTTTTTCAGACTCAAAAGTACATTTTTTTCATAAAAAGAAATTTCTGTTTTTCCTAATATCCATTTTGATTAGAAAACTTAGAATATTCTAGACAAATTTAGTTTAGTAGCTACTTGACAACAAGTAAATAAAAGGATAAGGATTGTATTGGTTATTTCTAGTGTTATCTTCAATATAATCTATTCAGGAGATTCCATTTACCAGTAGTGTTGACAATTCTTGTTTTTTTTTGTTTTCTATGTTTAAAAAACAAAAGCGGTTTCATAAAAGCCGAAGGGAAAATTTGTTTTTTCGACTGCGGTTATTTATTTATTGTTTATTAAGTTTTAGATTTCTCTGAATTATCAGATGTTTGCATGAATATTCAAAACCTTTACACGTGACCTATAGTTTTGTACTTTAATGATAACATGATAATATAAGTTTTGAAATCACATACATAAAAAATCCATTTCATTACTGTGAGACTGATTGTTTGTGTGTACTATTATTTGAAAATTTCATAAATTGTCAGCATATTTCTTTTTAGTATGGAACTGCTAAGCATTGCGTATCCATGGTTTCGCCTTGTGATATTCAAACCCAAGACCTATCGTTCTTGTGAGCGAGATCACTGAGTTGATATTTGATGGCGTAAATGTCTAACTTTAATCGATCCACGAAATTTCGACACCGTTCACCATTGCCTTCAGCGGGTTACTGTCACACAACAAACACGGTTAGACTCCACTGGCCATGGCTTTTAACTAGAACTCCAGCAAATAACTGTTGAAGCCAGTAACTAGCAAACACATGGTGGTTATTATCAGAAGAGGGCTTCAACTTTTTATTAACCATTTTGTTCTTAAATATGTACAAATGATGAGTGGTAACTTGAACTAATTAAAATTTTAGTTCAAGTTCTACACTATTTTTGATAGACTAAATGATTCAGCACATAATTTCAGTGTTATTTTTTTCAAAGATAATCAAATCAGTAATATAAATCGTACAAATTTTCATGCAGATTGTCTCCATGGAATAGACGTTTAATTATTTACTAAAGTAGAGTTTACATGTCACTTAGTTGATTATTCGGAAATTCTTTTTGTAAATTAGCAGTTTCTATACACCTTCAACCAAACACCAGAATAATAGTTATTCAACATTTTCATCAAAACTCTAAGGAATTATATAACTTAATAATTGAATTCATTAGTCAATTGAAGCTAGACCATCATGAGAAACCTGGAAGCACTGGACAACCGTTTTGTCCTAGTATGGGACTCAGAAATTATATTATTAAATTACTAAAACTTCCACCAACCCCCCTTCTGATATTTCCTTCTCAATAAAATATTATCCACATCTTTTTGTTGCATAGCTGTAACATCCTCTTTTAAGTCTATTTGACTATTATGAAATTTCGTCTTCATATGAAACTTTTATCATTTGTTATAATGTCTTACGTAATCTACGAATGTTATAAATGGTTATCTCAATTGATTCATTTAATAACTAGTACTATCTAAGTAACATTCAGTATATGCATCTCATAATGTTATAAATTCGCAATTATTTTAAAAAATATATCTGACTGTTTTTAAATTATCCAAGATGTCACCATTTGATTCGTATCTGTTTTAACCTTCTTGTTTGTTATAGCTTAATCTAGAACAGTGGTGATAATCTAATTATATATATATATATATATATATATATATATATATATACTTCTCTTCTTTACTTGCCCTTCTCTATGTGGAAATGTTTTAAAACTTGATTCTGTATGTTGAAATCATTTGAAATGTTTCTTGAATAAAATGAAACACTCCTTATCTTCAACTTTATTATGAACCTTTAAAAGAACAAAGATTTTAGCAATTAGTTAGCAAGGTGTTTTACACTTTATGCCTACTACCCTCTCCTCACATTTATCCGGTTTGGGAGGTTCAATAACCCTAGAAGAAATCCAGGTGGTGTTTCTAAATGAAGAACATAAATCAAACAGTACACATTGTTTTTATTCTTAAAAAAACATCTGTGTCAACAGTATTTGATACAATTAGCGCTGAATATAAATAAATTAATTACTGTTTCCTTGCCATCGACAAGCGAAATTGACTACCTTCATAATATCCAACTGGTTACAATTTAGTAGAAAGGGTTTGTAGATAATATAATAATCTGTTTATATTTAAACTATAGTGAATAGGAAATTGCCGACAGTTTTAAACTTTCAGATGGTATTAATCATAAATCGACATTTTTTAGAGTATTAATAAACACCGGATATTACCTGACAATTGTTTATGCCTTCTACATACAAACATTACTAAAAACCTAATATATATATATATATATATATATATATATATATATATATATATATATATATATATATATATATATATATATTATATACTGACAAACGAATGGATTTAGAATATATAGGATGTCTAATTATTTCCGAAAAAGAGTTTAGTAGAGGACTCATTAATGGGGATAATCATTTCAAAATTGTAGAGTTTCTTCAAGCACTACTCTTGTATATTTACTAAAATTTTGTACTCATGTATATCTGTAGGATTTATAAGAAGAAACAAAAGTCATAAATGTCTTAGAAATTAAGAGATGATGATTTCTAATAAAAGGGACTCTACCCCTAACTGTCGGTCTGAAAATTTTGCAAATGCAATAAAAATGATCTTGGTGGTCTATTAATAGTATTTCAAAACCAGACAGTGGTTTTTAAGTGTTATTTAAGCTCTAAAGCTTCAGGTTGGGCTATTTCGTTCACTACCCTACATATGTGTTCCATTCAGTATAAGCTATATGGCTATGTAGAGCTGAAGGTCTCATATGAGACTGGAGGTTCGTCATTGATATTGTGGATGGTTCGGTATTACTTTGGCAAGTTTTACTGACTGTTCATGCACAAAATTGGTTTGCTGGTCAGCAGATTCCATTTATACTAGTGGTTGCTTTTCAGTGTCATTAGAATTGGAACATTGTAAGGCATGTCATCATTGCTAACATTAATGAGTTTGACTGTCATGTAAGCGGAATAGGTCAACTTTGTCTTGTTCGTGCTGTGCATAATTGATTCACGCGATCATTGATCGAAATAACTATACATGTGACGTGAATGTGTATATGAATGGTACGAATGGTCCACCAGGGTGCTTGGTACCTGTGTCGTTGCGTCACAAAATTGAGCTGTACTATTCATATTGTATCATTAAAGGCTATACGATGTCTGGTTCTCCTGTAAAGCGGGATTAAACTGTACTGCTTGGGTTATAAAATTTAAGGCTGGGCAGTGTCTGGCTCTCTAGTTAAACGGGATTGAGCTGTACTGTTTGGGTTGTCACGTGAAAGTCTGGATGATATCTGCTTCTCCTAAAAACCAATATAAAATTATCCTGGCCCACTAGGGTATATTATATAATTATGAATAAATTTGTTGATCCTTCCAGTAGTCATATGCTTGTCTCAGAGATTAAGTCATACATGTCTAAGTAAGTACATACCTAAGATTTTTAATAAAACATTTGTTTGAACAAAACAATTCCATTACCTTATTTAATTTATCCAAAAAATGATTTCATTTGAATATGATATAAATAGTTTTGTAAGTGAATTGTCTGCTATCAAATCAATTCTACTTTAGTCACCTTAGCTATTCAACTAGTAATATTAATCTCTAAGCTTTATTGAGAACCATTCATAAAAGTGTAGTTTAGTTTTTACAAATTCTTTGTAATAATGTTAAAATATCAATTAATGTATACTTATACTTAACTTATTCAATCTATTCATAGATGTGCAACTGGTGAGAATTGGCAAGAAATTATGCTCGATTGTGCAGCTGGTAAAGAATGTGAAGGTTCTGGTGAATCATGTGGAAGCTCATATACATATTTATATTTTTCAACATTTAATTTTTTATGCTCATTTATCATGTTAAATTTATTTGTAGCTGTTATTATGGATAATTTTGATTATTTAACTAGAGATTCTTCTATATTGGGTCCACATCATTTAGATGAATTTGTTCGTGTTTGGGCTGAATATGATCCAGGTGCTACGTAAGTTGAACGTTTAAATAAATAAAACTTATCAGTATTAAAAAAATGTTTAGCATGTTTACAAAATGATCTATTCTTTTCATTTATATTATTAAACACAATAATGTGAACATACATTTCAATAGTTAAGATCATGAGTCAATTGAAGCTAGACCACCATGGAAAACCTAGAAGCACTGGACGGCCATTTCGTCCTGTTTTGAGACTCCTCAGTAGTGCGCATTCACGATCCCGTCTCGCGAGATTCGAACTCAGGTTTTCCATGGTGGTCTAGCTTCAGTTGACTCATGATCTCAATTATTGAAATTACTATAATATCTACAAACCCCCCCTTCTGATATTAATTTTTTATTGTTATTTTACAAATTTCTACATTGAAGTTCAATGCCATTAAAAGCCATACTAACGTATAAACAGATTATTCTTAGATAAAATATGAATATCTTTTCCAAATTACAATTTTAAGTGGTTAGATATTTCGTTTTTATAAATAATTTATAGTTGTGTATATGAAATCTAATTTAGATTTTCTACAGTACATTTAATAGATAAAACTTGTTTAATATATCAGTATGGTTGTGTTACAGTCATGTACTGATAAGTACCAATTTACTGACATCAATCTTATTTTATAATTAACTATCGTTCGTAAGTTTAGGTGGAGATTTTAAAATCAGTACGTAAAATGTTTGTTTGTCTCCAACAGACGTCTGTAAAATAACTTTTTATGACTGGAGATATCTAATTTAGTTTTTAAACATGATTTAATTATTGTCGATCATTACTAAAAACTAGTGGATTAAGAATTACAGTTATGTGAGAGAGATATATACTGTCATTGTGTGGATCAAGATAAAGTTCAATTTTCAGTTATTAATCTATTTTTATAAAATGATGCCATAAGATAATATACTCGCTGTTTTAATGAGACGATAATTTGACTCGTTTTTTCTGGTTAGCGTTTTCTTAGAGAGTTAGTTTTTTACGGGATGGGGTCGCCAACCCTATGCTCAACCCTCCTCCTTTATCCGAGCTTGGGACCGGAAGTAGCATCAAAAGGGCTCCGGGTGGAGTTAAGGAAACGGTAAAGAAAAGAAAAACATTTCTAAAACTGAATGTTCAAATTCACGTGATGCTGTTTTACTTGTATCTTCCCATTGTTATTTCGGACTGCAATTGATTAATTTCATGTTGGCATATATGACTTAAGGCTATGTCAAGACAATCCGTTCAGGATGCACGTATGCTAAAGAGAGCAAAATAATCACACAGGAGGATTTGTGGAGATTGTAGTAATTTAACAGTTGAATTCATGAATCAACTAAAGCTAGATCTCCACGAAAAAACGTAAAAGCACTGGACGGCCGTTTTGTTCTAATATAGGACTCCTCAGCAGTGTGCATCCATAATCCTGCTTCACAAGATTCGAACCCAAGACCTGTTGGTCTCACACATGGACGCCTAAGTAAAAATGATTATATGATTAAAAGTTTGCTAATAAGGACCTCAATCGAAATGGTATTGTTATAGAATTATACTAACAGATGAATGATTTTTAAAAAAAACAAATGCCAAATGCAAATCATTTAGCATATTTTACAGAACGAAGCAATTCCTTAAAAGATAACGAGTAAACCATATTGTATATCGTAAACATAGTTCTGATGTACTAACACAGCACGGTCGTTGAATTTAAGAATTTCTATTATCATTGTTTTGGTTTGCTAATAAATAATTTCAGTTGAGTTTCAAGTACACAAACAGTAACTACCTACTTGAGCATTTGTAATACAGTTGATATTTATGCAAAAATTACCTATCATGAATGAAACCTTCAGTGTTTCAAAAACGATATGAAATAAAATTGTATTCAAATTGACTAAATATTCTCAGTTTTGTCGGGTGACCTGTTATGTTCGTAAGATTGCATTAAAAACAACTTACCGCAACATTAGGGATGGGATGTTCTTCAATCTCATTCGTAACTTTGATCTTGCACATGGTAACCAACCAAAATGAGGCGAACATTAATATTTACTCTGTCTTAATCCACGATAGAGGGCATGTTTCATTCTATGTCATCTTTTCTGGTCTACATGAAATATGTAATGTTTTCTACGAAGTAAATACAACTCCATTATGCTACAGACGAGTCAAATGTAGCACATTTAGTCATGATGGAAGAAAAATTTAAAATGAGAAAAGTCCATATCTACATTTAATTAAATGATAAAAATTACTCCAAAACATTTGCAACTGAGTAACTAAATAAACGAATGTGTAGCCGTAACTACTGATTACGATACACTTTGATGACTTGATAAAGCTGAGTTTATTCCCAGTTTAATATCTTAGATATAACGATACCAAAGTATCATAATAAAACTTTATAAGATCGGTTATTTGCTGTTTCACAATCTATCACCCATTTTTTAATAACAGTACGTTCAGTAGAGTGGTATATATATATATATATATATATATATATATATATATATATATATATATATATATATATATATATCAGTAAATGGATGAGGGAAAATAATATACAGTAGCATTATCAATGGATTCAGTCAGTCAGTTAGTTACGATGTAGGACCAGGAATATATATGTACCGATCTAAGTTGCCATACCTCATTAGCACAACAAGATAAACACCGAATTCATACAAGTATTTATCTCAATGATGTTCATATATTATAAAAGAAAGATTACGTAATCAAACGATTAATCAGAGATAATCATGTTGAATCATTGTATTTCACTTATCTGTATAAAAATGCCTTAAAACAACATAAGAAAGTTGTTATTTATTCAAAATTGTAGGGTAATTTTTCATGCACACGTACATATATTATGAAATATTCTATTCCATATTTACAGATATAAACAATGTAGGCACATGAATATGTCTAGTAGTAATTACCATTGTCTCTATATAAATTAATGGAGCCAGATATGAAATAACATGAATAATTGAAATGAAATCTGTATAATTCTACCTTCTAATGTAATTTATTCAATATATATAAACAGTGTATCGTTTTAGTTCGTAAAGGGGACAATTAAACTTACTACTCATTAAGAATATTTCAGTAGTTGATCAGCACAAAGTTTATTCTGTTATAATTGAAGGCTTAGAAAAAAATTATTTAAAAATAAATCTATATTCATTATTTTGATTTATATTCATCAACATTTACAGAAAGACAACAGAATGACTCTAAATTATGCATTGTCATTACTGTATACTTTGATACGAAAATAGTACGTGGACTAATTCATTTTATTTTCCACAGAATAATCAGTCTATATACATTCAACTAATAAGAAAGATAGTAAACGCCAATCATGAAATCATTTAACTGTAAAGAAAGAATATGATGCCTAGCATTATTCACAGTAGCAACAGTTACATGATTGACTGAAGACAGTTTACCAGTGGTGCTTGAAAAAAATACCATCAGTCACTAGTAGTCTGATGATATGTAAATGCATAGGTTTGAATTCCATGAACATAATGAAACAGATTACAATTAGCAACCAACTTAATATTGACTATCTCTACCTACTTAAAATCAAAATTTAACAGCTACTATCTTCATAGTTTTAATTTAATTTTTCTATGCAAAACATATAAATCTTTTTTTATTTGAATTGGATATTATATTTAATAGAGGTCTTATTCATCATCGTGATGTATATGAAATGCTTAGAAACATGGAACCACCAGTTGGATTTGGTAAAAATTGTCCATATCGTTTAGCTTACCGAGTAAGTTTTCTATCATTATGTTTATTCTTATTTTGTTTACCATTTGTTTTGTTTATTAAAACAAAAATAAAATATCAAATGAAGGAAAAATGATATATTCGGTCAAAGTTTGACATTTGTATATTTCTATTTCTTTTTCTTATTCCTTGTTGAAGTTTATATTCAATTTGCAATATAACATCATAAACTTTCATAATATATAAATATAGACATAGATTTTAATAAAAGTAGTTTTATGAAAACAAACGATTGAAACAATAATTCATATAGCTACTTTCTAATCATTTAAATTTGTCAAATCAATTGAGTATAGAAACAAATCAAGCATATTCACATGATTACATCAGGAATATATATGATTAAATTTGTCGTGAAAACTATCTGAATGATTAACGTGCGCGCGCGAGAGAGAGAGAGAGGGGAGGAAATAGTTCCCTTTTTACTGACGTAATACAATATTAGCTATTAATCAAAAGGTTCTGTTTTTGTTTTTATTTTTATAAAATTAAAAAAAAATGTCAGTCCAGTATCAATTCTTATCTTACATAGAATATCTATATATCTACATATAACCATAATAATAATAGATAAAGAATTTATAATTGTAAATACTGATTCAAATGAATAATTAAATTTGTTTCAATTATCAAATGATTTTATCAATGATAATTTCAAACAACCAAAAAAACTTGAGTTTTTTTTGTTTCGGAGAGAAAAAAATGTTTTTTTGTGTGTTTTTATAGATTAGTTTTGTCGATAAATATCTTGACAACTATCCTATCTCAAAATGCTAGATTATGTGATCATCATGATTGGATTGTACAAATGAAAACTTATCATTATAAATCTGTCAAATAAATAGATAGTATATATGGAGTATTTACGTGTGTTAGTAACAAAATAAAATATTCTATATGAGGATTATTTTATTTTCAGTATAGAGGTTGTAGAGATTATTAAGTTTTTGATTAAGATCATGAACTGATTGATGTTAGACCACCATTGGAAACCTAGAAGCACTGGACAGCCGTTTCGTTCTACTGTGGGACTCCTCAGCAGTGCGCATTATTGTTATATTATTATTATATATGATAAAAGTTAAATACATTATAAAGCTAATTATATATATATATATATATATATATATATATATATTCTGAATATAATACTTACAGGATTCACGCCAGTTTACAGGCATTATCAATTTGATATAAATAGTAACATTAGATGTAGAGAACAGGCATGTGACATAAGATTGTTTTAAGTATACTTGTTCAATAATTGTTTAGGTAAAAAATGTATTACAGCGATCTAATATATCAGCCGGGAACTTTTAATTTTTCTAAAGTGTATAGCCTGTTGATTTATGAATGGTGTATTTAAGATCATTTCCTGTGCCAAAATGAATTAATGATAGTTATCTAAAGAAAGTAAAACGAAAATAGAGAGTATGGAACAGCAAAGCAATAATTACTAAAATATGTTAAATAGGTCTACCATAATGCATGTGTCATGTGACACAATGATATACTATTGATGTTAGCTATTATTCAAATTAGTTAAGGCTGTTAGGGACAGTGTCAACGTAAAGTAACAACAGGTACGTGGTTTGACTTAGGGAATTCACTAATAATAATGGCTAAACATCTAAAGTTCCCATAATATTACTTGTGGAATAAGATACACTTACAGGTGCTAGAACATTTAATGCATTTTCAGAGGAATGTAGAGAATATTTTCTGAGATATCATGTATTATTAGTGATCTAGATACCTTTACTATGATATTATTATGATTAGTAAAATTAGCTTGGAATATGAGTGCATCTGTTTGAAGATAATAGATGTGTTTTTTATTTTTATTATATTTCTGTCGCAGTATATAATATTGGTTAGTTGTGTTGTGTTTTTGTGAACTAGATGGTTTGTCTTTCTAAACAACATCATCGAGTAGAAATAAACTTTGTTGAATCATTCGACACAGTTGAAATCAGTATATTCTCATGCCATTGAATGTGATTAATTGCTTTTAATAACTGGATATGTCTATTCGCGTTGACCGTCACATTGACCGCTGAGTTTAGACTAGTTGACCGCCACAGCATGTACTAAATATTGGATCCAGATATGACATTTTTGGCTAAAAAATAAACTGATCATGAATGTTTAATAAGAAAGATTGGTTGTAACAAAATAGTGATAATACATTTGTTGGTTGAAACACTTAAAGAAATTTAAATGGTAATCGTTGAGGCTAGTAAACATTGTCAGTATTAAAACAAACAGTGTCCAATGATCTTCAGAAGTAGTATTATTTAACATCTCACTTTATCTTAACTGATCTGAATGTTTTAACAAAACTTGGTTGGTTTGCACACAGAAGCATGTTTTTTTTAAATTTTGTTGCTATATGTAATCCTTATGATGATGTTCTGTCTAGTACAGATTATGGAATCTTGGACAGTTACTTCATCAAAATTTGAAATTCAAAACAAAGAACTTACATAAAGAATTAACATCAAGCCATTAAATTCGAACGAACTTCAAAATGGTAATCGTAACGTGAAGAAGAAATAAATATTCAGATCAAACTTAATGACCTAAATTTTTTAGAAACACTGAGCTGAATTTCTTAATCTAACTAAAATGTTGATGATTAATGTATTATATTTTCCTAACTTTACACGATATGGTCTTATATAAGTTGAATTACGAGATACATTCACAAATACTTGATAAATTGATTAGAAATCACTAAGGCAGATCGTGCTCATGAGTATGACTGAATTTGATATAATTCTGGTATACTTATCATCAATCTTAACCGCGTAGATTGATCACTCATATCCACTTGTACACTTTTTTGTAAACTGATTAATGTATTGAAATTTCACATAACAATTTATACCTTCGTATTTCTTCTCCATTAGTTATCTACTTTAAACCGATTATTCATACATGGTCTTCTTATTACTTTATTTTCATGATTATTATTTTAATAAGTTTATTTTCCTAAATATTGACCTAGTTCCCCCCATTAAATTATTTAATTAAGCAGTTATAATTAATCTTATTACTGTTAGAACACTTCTAATCTTCAATAAAAAAGAGAAAACTTGCGGCTCAGGTGGATATTTTTCATGTTATTGAGTTCTCAATCATGATAGTTTAAAAGTTGACTTCATGAGTCAATTAAAGCCAGATCACCGTGGAAAATCTGGAAGCACTAGACGGCCGTCTCGTCCTACTATGAAGTTAGACATTGGATGCTGGCTCAATGGTTCAGGGTTTAGGCACTCGCGTGAGAGACCGAAGGTCTTGGGATCGAATCCCACGAGTGTGATCATGGATTCGCACTACGGAGAAGTTCCATACTGGGACGAAACAGCCGTACAGATATTCCAGGTTTACCATGGTGGTCTAGCATTAATTGACTCATGAAATCAACTATGAAATTACTACGATCTCCACAAAACCCCTCTCTGATAATCATGATACTTTATTTACATAGCTTTCATTGTCGTTCTGCACAACGTCAGGGAGTACTTCATATAGAAGTGATCTACTCATTTACTTCATGAGCCGGACAAATACTCCATAAACAAAAATGTCACTTCATTGCATTTTATACGCGCCAAAATTTATTATTGTAAAAAATGACTATTTCACTATCACCTACAACGTAAGTTTTAGATGATGAAGATAAATACTACATCACAAAATCTGTGCTTCCTTGAAACGTATACACACAAAAAACACAAACTATCAGGGAAACTAAACGATGTGTTGTTTCTAATATGAATAAATTAAATAACTACGGACATGAATTGAACAAAGAAGACGTTCGGACATTTAAGTTTGTCAGAGATATTCCGAACGCATGGCAGCGAGATTAATCAGCAATCTGTAGATACGCTGAATTAGAACCAATCTATCAACTTATCCTTAAAAAGGTTAATAAACACCTTTTCCAACAGGTAATGAAACAAGGAAGTAACCGTAAATACATAGATAAATAAAAGCAATTTAAACTGAAAGAATAACTTATCACAAACAGGTCGAACAGAATCAACTAAGTTAAGGCTCGCCTTCACATCTGCATCAGATTCACCATGTTCATCAATGATGCAGCCCAGATATGTAAAGGTTTTTACATCTTCCAAAGCTTCTCCGTTAAGTGTCATTCCTTTGTTGCATGCTGTGTTGTATCGGAGAATCTTACCTATAGCTCTTCTTGGGCTACTGCTGGTCCCAAGCCCGGATAAAGGAGGAGGGTTGGGTATGGCGTTAGCGACCCTATCCCATAGAAAACTAACTCGCTAGAAAAACGCTTACCAGAAAAAATATTCAAAAAAACATAACAGTTGTAGAAACACTTACAAGTAATTAAGCTATAAAGGCATAAAAATTTGACTTTGAAAAGTAATTGTTTTATTTTTTATTTAAAATTTAGGAAGACAAATTGTTTTCCGTTAAATTATTTATTCTTTTCAACTTAATTCCCTATTGTCAAAATTAATTTATGCGGTGATTATGATTTAATGAAATACTTTTAACAAAATACAAGTAAAACTATTTTACAGTTAGTCGGATAGTTTCATATACTTTGATGGTTAATCTGAGAATTGAAAAAAAAACTAATATTTAGATATAAATGTAAATCATAAATTTGTATTTTAGGCAAATAATTATCTTTGATTCAGATCATGAACCGACTGATGTTAAACTACCATTGAAAACCTGGAAGCACTGGACGGCAGTATCGTCCTATTGCAGGACTCTTCAGCAGTGCGCTTCGAAGATCCTGCTCGCGGGATTCGAACCCAGGGCTTTCAGTATGGCGCGCGAACGCTTAAACTCTAGACCACTGAGTTGGCATCCAACGGCGTTAATGCCTAACCTCAACCAATCCGTGAAATTGCGCGACCATCTTCCATTGTACTGAGGTAGATACCTGTCTCTACCCAACACGGATTAGCTCGACTGGTCAAGGCTTCTCACTAGAACTCCGAGAATTCCCTCACGAAGTTAGTCACTAGTGAGCACATATTAATAATCTGTACAACAACCTATGCTGATAAATACCTATTTACTGGGGTTGAATGAAGGTTTGGATTGAACATTAAGTTTAGAAATTAGTTTCAATGTTTTCATCACAAAATGATATCAGCTATGATCGTGAAATGGTATTCAGTCAAATGAGTGGATGAATTTCTTGCCAAAATCCAAGACCTGTTATCTTATACGTAATTGGTTCGTCCATAAGTTATAGTCTCTACCCAACACGGGGCGAGACTATAATTTATGGATGAACCAATTACGTATAAGATAACAGGTCTTGGATTTTGACAAGAAATCCACTCATCCATTTGGCTAAATAGAGTTTTGGCATTAAAGCTGATGTCAGTTCGTGATGAAAACCCTAAATCTAATTCATAACCTTAATCATCAACTGTAAATCATAATTTGAATTCCCAACATTAATTTATAATTCTCAATCGGTCCCGGTTATTAGGTGGACACCCTCAAGGTCAGTCTGGCACCACTCAAAGGTTGTCCATAAACTATAGTCTCATCGAATATCCTAACAAGTAGTGTCTCAATTTGAGATTTATGGTATGCTTTTCATAATACCATGTGAGTATACACAGTTATGATTCATTATTATTCGGTTCAAATAAGTCTAAAATCGGAATACTTATTGTAATAGTCACACAGTTGAGAAAGAGATGGTCAAAACATTTTAGAATCCCATTAAAATAAAGTATATTTCTCATATTTTGGTTATATGTAAATTTAATCTAAGTTCTTCTTATGAACTGGAAGCATAAAATGGATCACTAAATGACATTATAAATTGTGAAGATTTATCGTTCTAGTTTGGATTTATATTCTAGTCTCCATTCATGACTCTATATGTGATAAGAGCCAGTCATGTTTGTAGTCGAAATCTGTAGATTATTCTTATTTTGTTACGTCCTTGATCTGTGTGCACAATTTTGTTGCTGAGGGTAACTTTTCTAATCTAGATTAAGACCCTGACGCGATAGGCTGACTGACTTAACCTAGAGGCTTGTATCCGTGAGTTCGAAGTAAGACCAACTGCTTGGGGTAGAGAGATGAAAACTATTATATCACCTGATTGACTGACAAGCACACGAGTGAGAGAAGAAAAGTCAACTGGAACACTACTTTATTTATTCCCAATTCCGATCTGGTTCCTGATTTCAAATTAGTGTAAAAAGACACGTGAATAAATAAATGACTAACCAGACCACAACGCACAACCATTAAGAAAATACAATTAGGCCCTGGGTTCGAATCTCGCGAGGCGGGATCGTGAATGCGCATTGCTGAGGATTCCCACAATAGGACGAAACGGCCGTCTAATGCTTCCAGGTTTTCAATAGTGATCTAGCTTCAATTGACTCATGATCTCAACCATTAAAAGAAAATACAATTATGTTCAAAACTGGAGATTAGCGTAGAAAATAGAGTACAAAATATTACGTTTAAATTACAATAGCTTTAGAAGAAAAAAAGAGCTATGACAGTGAATCATACATCAAACGAAAGCTTACGACCTGTAGAATAGACTAAAAACAAAAATAAATGTTACTGTTTTATAAGCTTTGAATTAAATGAAATAACATCCCCAAAAATAGCTTCCGTGATTTGTCAAGGCTTCTTGAATATAAACTTAAAGATTTCAAAGCGAAACTTTGAATATTCACATAATCACAATAAACTAGAAAATTTATTTGAAAATTTCATGAAATTACCTTCGTTTATTTTGTTTGTTCTTTTTGTTCATTTTGTCTCATCCATTATTAACCGTAAATATAAAGAACTTATGAAATAAAGTGCTAATTTTGTTTTCACTCAAAGTACATTATATAAGTTGTTTATTAAAGTAAGCAATTCATCCTAACTAAAGTTTAGAACCGGATATTCGCTTTCATTCTATATTTATTTACTTTTTGTATGAATAACTTCCGTTTGAAACATTTTATAAAATAATAATATTTGATTACCATCTAAGAATACTTTAATAAGCTATTCAGTTTTGATAAACAATCTTAAAAAACACTTTGTATTGTTTTGCTTGAATCTTCCTATTGATGTTTAGGACTGAAATTGATCAGTCTCTTAATGCCATATGTGCATACTGTGCGTATTGTCTCGATATTGCCTTAATTTACAAGCATTATAAGCAAAGATGGATAGTGGCTAGCAGTGGAATCCAGGACAATACATAGTGAATTAAACTTCACTCCATTGCACAAGCAAGTGGCTATCAGGACTCAGTAGCTAAGTGGATAACGCGATGGCATTTGAAGCGAATGGTACTGGGTTCGAGTTTCAGAGTGAACATCAACTCTGAGATGCAGGTACATCCAGCTGACGAGTCCCAAATAGAACGAAATGCGTGTCTTGGATTCCACTGCTAGCCACTATCCATCTTTGCTTATTATCTTAAGAAACAGTATACAATTTAGATGGAAAATCGGTTAATTTCAATGTTCAACTGTCAAACTGTTATTCGTAGCAGTAAGCTGTATGTATGTACAGAGTAAATGTTAGCTAAGATTAATGTATCTTCCTAGACGAAGATAGATTAAATCACAATAGCGCATAAAAGCAACCGGACATATATTTAGAAAACTATATTTTATCTAGGAAATTTACCTGAATGTAAGAGAGAATGTTGTTAATCTAATTGCACTTGACAGTCAATTTCAAAGTGCATGAGATTTTAGATCACCCTCGATTTCTTAGTTCATTTTGTTAGAGAAATCTAGCGAATTCTTCGAAAAAAGCCTCTGAAAACGCTGAGAAGAATCTTATACAATCAGCATTCACTAGAAGTTTTGCTAGAAACGTATAGAAAAAAGTCATATGTTGAGTTTCTGACTGGAAGATTAACTATACTACTACTATATTTAGTAGCGTTCCAGAATTTTCCGCAAACCCAAAACCATCTAACATATTATAAAAAACCCTAAATCTTCTGTATATAAACGAACCCTTGGAGTAAAACGTTTCTTCCGTATTTCGCGCTTTTTATCTTGTGTTCAAGTCTCTGTGTAGATTTATCCTGAAGGTTAATAAAAGAGCTTAGGAACCAAGTCTAGCATTCGATTAGAAGACTTATCACATATAAAGTGATCTTTTACAAGTAGAATCATTAAATTTCTAATTCTGAGGATTTTTGATGTTTTCTTTAAAAACTCATCCAAATAAACGTATTAAGCAGGTGTTTTTTTTGAGAACATCAAGTATTTTTCAACAAGTTTCGCAATAGAGCTAAAGCATTTTAGATACCACTGAAAGTCAGTAGGATTTCAATATAGCTACTATTTTGCTCCGCTTATTTAAATGTATAGTAAGATTACTATAGTATTTGCGACATCTAAATTTCAGAGTAATCTATCCTACCAAAACAAATTACATAATAAAGATCACATCGACTTACAAGTGTTTCTCATCATATAAATGAACACAATTTTTACTATACTATTTTTATTAAAGGATTTTATGCAGACTAGCCTAATTCATGGTTAACATTCATCACGAATTAAAATGGGGCGGCCAGACTAAAACATGGCACAAATTCATCAAGTCACTGACAAGTGGACTGAGTCATGCTGGTAGGTGTAGACTACCGGGTCGGGATCTGCGAGACGATAGCAACCGATGATTAGAGACCTTGAATGACATGGCTCGAAATCGTTTGCAATGACGCAGGTGCTTCTACTCTTTGTGTTCTCTCAAATTCTAATCTCCCGAATTCTTCATGTCCATATTTTTCTCTTTCCAAATTTACTTCACTGTATTATGCTCCTTGAATAACATCTTCAAACCCTAATGTTTCCGATTACTGCTTATACTCTTACTACCTCTACTACTACGGGATTTGAGTCAATAACTGCATCTCTGTGCTAATGTGGTATGGCAAATCGAACTGATGTACGTACGTACGTACGAAGTTCTACTTTGTTACAGACTCACTAACGAATTAACATGGGTTTAAGGTTAAAATAAGAATTTCAAATGGTATCAGTATGAGATCGATCGATAACGAATACGTCATAACAAACTATCTCCTTAGACGGAAACAATACAAAACTTATTTTTAACTTTCCATTTATTTTATTTTTATAGAAATTAATTCGAATGAATATGCCAGTAGATGAAAATGGTTGCGTTAATTTCACAACAACATTATTAGCTTTAATACGCGAATCATTAGGCATTAAAACGGGACCAACTGAAATAATGGATCAACGTGATATGGAATTAAAAGAAACCATTTGTAAATTATGGCCTGTTCATGGGAAAAAAATGCTTAATTTGCTTGTACCTCCAGATTCAGGTAATGAAAAGTTCAACTGTATGCGTGAAAGTAAAATCACGAAGTAGTTATAGTACAATCACTTGGTATTGATTGAATATTTCGATTGTTTTTTAGGACTGTAATTGGTCAGTCTCTTATTGGTTTATGTGCATTCTGTGCGGATTACCTCGACATTGCCATGTTACAAGTATAATAAGCAGAGACAGATGGCGGGTAGCCTTAGAATCCAAGACGCGCGTTTCGTCCTATTTGAGACTCATCAGCTGGATGTATCCGCTGTTTTAGTGAACATAAACCCTGAGATGCACGTACATCCGGCTGACGAGTCCCAGGTATGGTAAAACATGCGCCCTAAATTCCACTGCCAGCCATCAACCATTTCAGTTATATTATTAGTTTCGCAGCAATAAATGATTATATATTAGTGTGAGCGAATCTTCCTTGTTGTTGGTTTTTTATTTTAAATCGGGTCTTATGATGAATGTAACAGGATAAAAATAGTTTAGTTTACCATTGAATTAAAATGAAGGACTGTGTGCGAGTCACCGATTTATGGACAACCTTGAAACGACGCTAAACTGACTTCGGAATGCTCATCTACTTGCTAGAGTTAAATGAGGGTTATAGGTTAGTTTGTGGAATTAAGATTAGTATTTACAGTTGAACATTAGGGTTAAAAATTAGATCGATTATTCTCATCATGAACTGACATCAATTATGATGCCGAAACGATATTTAACCAAATGAGTGAATGAATTTTGCGCTAAAATGTATGACCTACTATCTTAAACCTGATTGGTTCGTCTATAAATTATAGTCTCGCTCCTAAGTTACACGAATTTCTTAGTTTTAAAATCTCAATTTTTACTCATTAGGGTGTTATGGAAATATTATTTTATTATAATCACAATAAGAATTTTACTATTCATATTTTTATAAAAATTATCTGCATATCACAGAGCTTGTCTATCACAAAATGACTGTTGGTAAAATATATGCAAGTTATCTTATGATTGAAAATTGGAGAGCAACACGAGCCTTTCAAGGTAAAGGTGGAACTTCTGTAAGTTTCGATTTATATTACATATAAAAGTATTTTATCATTCTGAATTATATAAAGGCATATATTACAATTCAATCATTGAGCTACAGGTGTTATATATCTACTATGAATAGTCCACCTCATCTTAAAACGTAGAAAATGGAATGTGATCCAATCTTAATTATTTATGTAAATTGACATTTCCCAGTTCGACTAATATTGACATTAATCATGATTTAGAGATTGGTTGCGTTTAAAGTATTCTTAAAGATAGAAGATTAACTGAGTACGTATCAATAGCTTCGAATGTTTTATCAATATACTGGAATGGAGCCTTGTAAAGGGGGTTAACCAAGCAAATCTTTTGCCTTTTATTAACATTTATTAGGTGATGAAATATATTAAGACATATCTATAGACAGCAGTTTAATCTGTTGTTTCGATCTACTAGAAATTCGCTGTCGAATTCAATTTGTTGAACTTGACAATTTCATAGATAATACGTTCCTAAGTCAATAAAAGTACCAGATACGTCCCAATTTTTTTCATCTATCAATTTGTAGTTATGTGCTGATTTTGTTGCTTTAGGCTAACTTGGCTCACTTGAATTAATTCCATTGAATGATCTGATTTAATTGTCTTTATTTCTCTGATCTGATCAATTAATTAATTTGCATAATATCTGTGGTTGATCAAATATACTTAACTGATTATATCTATTGGATCACCTTAAGATTTGGGTGATAAGATTCCTATTACAGCAGGTTAATAAAAAGACTCATCTTTTCTAAATAATAAAACTGAAGTAAATAGTTTCTTCAGTTAGAGATAGCTCAACTAGGGTAGATGACAGAAACTTCGTCCCGCTTTTCTGTTTCGTGGTGATGGTTGCGTTTAAAGCTGATGGCATCATGAAGTTATGTTTGTCCTAATGATTGATTTGGTATTTTCAAATTTTGTTTTTGATTTCCAATAATAATCGTAGTTGCTGTGAATTAGTGAAGTTGTAAATTAGATGCCATAATAGGTAGCTATAACTAACGTTATCGTTTCTCCATCTATTGACGTATAATATCAGCTTTATTGATTATATCAATCATTTTCAAACAATCTTCTTTCAGTCATAATAAAAATAGTGATAATCAGTCTAATTAAGATCCAATATATAATTACAGTAAAGACTTGTTAAACATTGCAATAATCCCTGTATTCTGTTTGCTCGATTTGTGAATTTCCAAAGATAGTTTGCATTAAACCGCTTTTCACCGCTGATTTCCCAGTATTTACCTCTATTTGCAAATACTTTAGGCAATTATTACTTTAGTGAAAACCGGTGGTAAACAAGTTTATTATTAAACCGGTTATCATTTCTCTAAAATACAGACAAGAGAAAATAATATATCTAACATCTTAATGATTAGCTTATAACCGAATATGGGTACTTCCGACAGTCAATAGGAATAATTAATTTGGTTAAATAACTAAAAAAAGGGATAGACAAAATCGTTTTTATTATTTTTATATTTTAAAAGAGCAAGTGATCCCATGTAACAAACAACCAAATCAACATTCCATTTGTACAATATGGTTCAAAGTGATATTTTCATCCATTTTGTTTTTACCATTCATCAAACCATGTCTTTGGATTACTGTCGTTGTTTGATCTGTACCCACGAAATCACTTTCTCTTTCTGAATAAGTTTCTCAAGTTATCCCATTTGTTTCTCTAACACTTTTATTCGAAAACAATCAATCTTCAAAATACCAGTCATTTTTATTTATCAGTGATCATTTGAAACATTGAATTAATGATGACATTTAAAACAATAGTCTTTCTAGTTCCGCTGATATATGAATATGACAATTTATAATCTTTCGTGACTAATTGTTGCTTTTATATGAATAAAGGCTTTTAAAACAATCAGAAATAGACTAATAACTATCATTCATTACGGAATATTTAGCTGAACATTCATATAGAAGAATCTCAAAACATTATTATTATTATTATTAAATATCGTTTATTAATTCTATTGTCTTTTCATCTTGACTAAAGTATAATATTATTTAAATTTTTTTGAAATTAGAAATCTGCCAGTATATTAGCACGATTCTTTGGTGCAGTAAAACAAAATGCTCATCATCCAAATGTTAATTCTGAAACGGAAGATGAAAGAGGAAGGTGAGTAGAAGTGATTACTTTCGTTTTCTACTAGTTCCTTTCGATTTATATTTTTGTTAATTATCTAATTCTGATTGTTTTGCATACAAGTTGTATGTTTATTTTTTAGTACTGGGTTATGAAGATAGTTTAACTTTATTGAAGTTACTTAAGTTAGAAAACTAGCAAAAACCTGAAGACACTGTACGGTTGTTTTGTCTTGGTACGAGACTCCTCAACCATCAGAAATCAAATTTAAGCTCTTCGGCTTTGTGCATGAACCCTTAAGCTGTAAACCACTGGTTAACCATCAAATGGTGCTTATGTTCAATTCCAATCAATCCACCATATTTCACAACCGTCTTCCATTATCTGCAGTGAGTACTTTCCTGACATACTACACGACTGAACTCTATTAACTACGGCTTCTCATTAGAACCGCTAAAATTTTATTCAAAAGTAGTCGCTAGTGACTAAATTTTTTTTCGCTACAAAACAAAGAAATTTGACTTCATTTTTCTAAAACGCCGGATTTAAAACAGCCGTGATCATTTATTGCACTGTCATTTAAATTTACCTTACCATAGCTGCATTTTATGTTTGTACTAATTAACTAACCAGTCGTACTGACACCAAACTACTGGAAGGTACGGTAGTTTTAAATACCTTCAATAATCCCTTACTAACTTTCATTTATACTCATTTCTTTGTTCAGAAAGTTAACCCAAGTACTCTTTATTATTCTGACTTGCAATTTAATCCATTAGATAGGTATTAGAATACCAAACCTTAACCTACCACACTTTATAAAACTTAAACATTACATAACTACGATATTTTTCCAAAAAATTACGTTTTACCAATATCGGAAATCACAATAATTAATAAGTTAAAAGGGAATATACAATAAGAACCGTAGAAATGCGCATACAAAGTTATTCATCAAAGACAAAATATGTAAATCTCATTTTTTTTTCTCTATGATACCTCACCTTAACAGCAATTCTTTCCTGAGAAATGACCGTAACGATGAAATATAGGATTCATTTTAGGTTCGTTTGATTTTTTTTAAATTAAATAAAGCCTTCTTATTATATCGGCGTTGCCTAACAATTATACTTGAAAATATGTAACCACTGAAATTCCCACGACGCGAAGCAAAAACGCAAAAACTGATACAAGTGAAAATTTTCTCACCTCCAGAAAACACGACGATCCTGATTGAATATACACTATTTTATATACTGATCCATGCACTCATTTGATTATTAATAAAAAAAAGCCACATTTACGAAATTCTAATAAAATCGCGCGGCATATGTCACGTTTAACATCGTTCACTGTAATTCAATACAAATAATATCATACATTTTTGTATTGGTTGTTTGAATATTCCCGTTGATGTTTAGGACAACAATTGATCAGTCTCTTAATGGCATATGTGAATTCTATGCAGATTGCTTCGATATTATGTTAATTCACAGGCATTATGAGCAGAGATGACGGTGGCTAGCAGTGAAATCCAGGAGGCCCGTTTCATCCTATTTGAGATTCATCAGGTGGATGTACCTGTATCCCAGATTTAATGTTCTCCCTGGGGTTCGAACCCAGTTTAAGGCGAACGGTACTAGGTTCGCGTCTCGGAGTGAACATCAAACCTGTGATGCAAGTACATTCAGCTGCTAGCCACCATCATCTCTGCTTATAAAAATTATCATAATTTGAATGAACATCACACTAAAATAACATATTACTGAATAAATTAACACACTGAGAATAAAACGATTTTGATGAAGTTTATGATTTGATGTGTATTGAACAAATTTTTTAAAGTTTACAAAGCTTAATATGAATACGATTGTAATGAAGACGAAACTATATAGAACATTTGTATACGTTTATAGAAAAGTTGAGTTATATTTTGCATTTATTTTGTTGCTTAATTGATTTTTTTAGCCCCGAACTCAATGAATTCTCAGAGAAAACAACATCTGAAAATAAGAATCCAAGAAAGAGTAGGAATTCAGTAAGTTTTTATTTTATGTTATAGTTGTCCTTATTTTAATTAATTGTTGTTAAAGAAAATACTGTCACGAAAATGGAAAATAATAATCGAGTTTGTAATAGCAGATTTGTTGTTTTATTAAGTAATAACTAGTTCATTATTAGTGATTAGCAGTGGAATCCAGGATGCTCATTTCGTCCTATTCTGGACTCGTCAGCTAGATGTAACTGCATCTCAGAGTTCACCAATACAAATTACTATAAACTATAGTTTTATTATCCAAGTAGCAAGGTGCATGAGTATATTGGAAGCGCGTATATCAGAATGGGACAGTCAACCAAAATAAAAAGTAATTCAGTGGTTATCAAGTCAGCTCTAAAAGTACAGAAAGCAAAAATAAAGTGTATAAACATAAACATTAGAATGTAGATCGATAAATAACAGTAAGCAGAGATGGTGGTGGCGAACAGTGACATCCAGGACGCATGTTTTGCCCTATTCGGGACTCATCAGATGAATGTGCCCCACAGTTGATAATGACTTCGGAACTCGAACCCGGCACGGTTGGTTTCAAACGTCATCCCGTTATCAACTTAGCTACCGAGTTCTGATGGCCGTTTGCTTGTACAAGGTGGTGAAGTTTAATCGATAAGAAGATTCAAGTAAACAGTACCAAGTGAACTAGAATTAAATGTAGATTTAACATTGCAAACGTCAGGAATTTTCTCACAGTTTCAAACATGTTTTTTGAACGGTAAGAATCCATTTCATTATGTTCTTCTGTCTTACAGAAACTACTAATTATAAATAGCTAAACCTTACTAAGTAAAGTGTTGTAGTAATGATCGTGATTTTTGTGTTGAATATGATATTCAATGGGTTAGCTGGAATTAAACAGTATCATTCAATTCCATTAACATATTAAACATAAGTATTCAAATTAAACCATTTCAGTCACTACACTGCAGACTTTTCTGACAATACTAGAAGTTGGATATTCAAAAGTACTTATTACTACCCATCGGTACAAATTAAAGTTTTGAATCAAATCTTGATCTAAATAATTCCTTAATAAAGACTTAAGTCAAATCAATTCAAGGAAAACGTTGAAAACATGACGTATTGTGAGACAACACCAAATCGAACCAAAATGACAGTTAAATGGTTTGAAACTCACGATCATAAAAATAAAATGTGTTTCTTTGTACCTGTTTTATTGTTTACTGTTATAATAACATTACTCGATATGAATTCAAATGTTGATTAACTTTATTATTTTTAAAGACTTTAGATTACAATGATCCTAATCGTCTTCTTACTCCACGAGGATCAGATTTCACAGAACACCGTATGTATCCAGCCAGTAGCCAATTAAAGAAACAATCTGGAATGAATGAAATTGATCAGACAATATCCAGTAATAAATCACAATATCTTATTCATGATGAAAATAAAACAACTGAACAATATCAAAAACACCCAACTCATTTTATTCGAAATAAAAGAGAACAAGAATATTCTGGTCGTAAGTCAAGATGTTATCAACGTCATTCCAAGTATTTAAGAGATAATACTTATCATGAAATACCTGAGGACTTTGAAGAAACTGACAAAATAAATGAAAGTAATGAAGAAGTTTCAGAAATCAAATACCAGGGTCGTCTACCAATGACTAGTCCATCAAGAGCTTATTATGAAGGTAAATTTTGATGATATTAATTTGAATATATTTTTAAAAAACATCCTCGGTAATTTTGTAGTGAACAGAACACGAGTGGGGGACAATCGAATGTATTTGACACGAAATTACAGAGCATCTTAATAAAATCTGAGAACCATATAGTAGATCGTTAGTTTGCAAAATATTAATCCATCATATCAAACTTAACTTTTCCTGTTGCAAACATCAATCCATTGTCTCAGATTTCATTGTTCATGCGTTTTCATATTAATTGCGTCCCGTTCCCGTTCTTTCTTCATCGACCTTCTATTGAAATACATTCTATACCTGACCACCGTTATATACTACTTGTGTGGATATAATTAACCCACACCACAATGTCACTTAGGTTTAGTAGTATATTTTTAGTTTATCAATGAATGCAATATTCACAGTTATAAGCATAAATCCTATTAAATTCTAAATATTTACTTCATTACAAATGTGTTTTTTGTGTGTCTAATTCACATATTAGATGTGAAAATTTGCTTAATATAAATCTAAAAATAAATGTTTATATATTAAGCAAAGCATCTCCATGGTACTCACGCTTCATTGAAACAAATTTCACTCCACCTACACACTACAGTTCAGAATTTTCAAATTCTTTTACATTTTATTGTTAAAAAAATCTAATTAGTTCATTTGACAGGATATTTTTCTATTTTTAATTCTAAAAAATATACATGTGATATCTCAATGAGTAAAAAAACTAGATTTTCTAATGTTTCGTGACTCAATGTGGGCCACTTCTTCAGGGAGTGAATAACTAAATCTAAATTATTCTTCTGAAGAAGTGGCTTATATTGGATCACGAAACATGAGAAAATCTAGTTCTTATACTTATTTGGATATTATAAATATATTCGTGGATTAGTTGAGGTTAGACATTAATACTGTTGGATGCCGACTCAGTGGTCTAGAGGTTATTCACTTGCGCGCGAAACCGAAAGCTCTGGGTTCGAATCCCTCGAGTGAGATCGGGATGCGCACTGCTGAAGAGTCCCGCATTGAAACGAAACCGTGCTTTCAGGTTGTCAATGGTGGTCTAACATCAATCAGTTCATGATCTCAATTGAAAACATATTATTTTTATTTAGAACAATCTACCCAATGCTCAATTTATTTGAAATTTTCAAGTCAAACCTTGGTAATGATACCTTAAAATTCATTTATTTCTCTTTTTGCTCATAATCAACTCAAGGTCAATTTATTTTATATTGAATCAATGAAATTACTAGTTATAAGTTTCATTAACAATACCTGATGAAAATTTGTTGAATACCAATGTTTTTGACTAACTTAAGTCTGGATGATGCATAGTAACACTCTTACTTTAGACAGTAATCATTCCTTATTTGATCATGAATTAAGTCATGAATGTACAAATAAGGAACACTACTGATCAGCACATCATTAGTTTCTTGTTAAAGAATCCTTTTTATCAATATAGCATGAACGTAGATTAATTACTTACTTACGCCTGTTACTCCTCGTGAAGGAGCATAGGCCGCTTACCAGCATTCTCCATCCAACCCTGTCCCAAGCAATCCTTTCCAGCTCTTTCCATTTCATATTCATCTTTTTCATATATTCGCTTCTATTCCCCGACGTAATGTGTTCTTCGGCCTTCCTCTTTTCCGCTTCCCTTCAAGATTCCAAGTTAGCACTTGTCTCGTAATGCAGTTTGATAATTTACGTAATGTATGTCCTATCCATTTCCATCGTCTTTTCCTAATTTCCTCTTCAGCTGGAAGCTGGTTGGTTCTCTCCCACAGAAGGCTGTTACTGATGGCATCCGGCCAATGGATGTTGAGTATCATGCGTAGGTTGTTAGACGCAAATCTTTTTCTTTAGATTGTTCCTGAACATCGGTCACCTGGAGAACACTAATCATTAGATTGCGACGAAGAACATTATTTTGAATGATTCAGAAATTCTCCCCTACAAGGTGTCTACAAATTTATCCTCTTTGAATTCTCTGTTCATGTAGAGGATCCTCTTCTATGCAGAGATTATTTGTACTTTTGGAGACTGGAATTTCACATTTGATACAAATTTTCGATAAGTTTTTTCCATGACATACAGACTCCAAATTTTTCATATTCGTATAGCGAGGAACATGATTAAATTTCTCATTGTACTGACAGAGAACCTTTTTTAAAACTTGCTAGCTTGTCATTCCACAAAAGTTATCTGAAAGTAGAATTCCTGAGGGTCCTATTAAGTAGATAATTTGTCAATTAGGAATTCGATTCTCGAGTGGCTGTTGTTAAATTTCTATAGTGTATGAGTCAAACCATATTTATTGTCATAACTGTTAAAATTTCAAATACATACAGATAAAAATCTTTGAGTAGTTTCCAAACTCGATGAGAAACAGTACGTCAATTACTGGTTAAAACGGGTTCCCATTGCTATTTCCTACATTTATCGATAGGTTATATCATAAAGTGTAAATTGTGCATTGAAAGTACATCGTAGTAATAGTTCCTTTGAAAAGAATGTTAATAGTTCCATGTTAATAATATGATATACTTGCAGATAAAGCAAATGATCTATGTGAATAAAAAATTAGTGATCTTTAACTCGACTTTAAGTGAAGGATAAGTTTGTCATTTGCATTCTTCCATTTTATCTAATCAATAAATTTAAAGGTGTCACGTAGAGAATGCATCTAAACCAGTTTGCTGTGGAGGTGTAAGAAGATCTGTACATGTTAAAAACTGATCTGACAGGAATTCCAGGGAATGTATATAGTTTAAAAATTTTTCAAAATTATATTTAACAAAAGATCAGGGATTTAATTTCATGCTTACGAGTGAATTTTTGAAGCTCTCAGTTAAAACGTAAAGCAATATGTATCATTACCAACGGAAATCTAGTTAATTGATAAACATATCTAAATATGTAGCTCTATAAACCTCCTTATTAAATCAATAATTGTAATTATGACGGTAAACTCAACCGCATAAAGTAACAATAAATCAAAGTCTGTCAGATATTAGGCTGATTATTATTTATTATCATGGACTGATTTATTATATTGTCAACATACAAAGTCTATAATGGAATTCGGTAAATGATAAAAGACATACAAAATATCGCATAGTGTTTATAAACCCGTTCGCAATGATGAATACACATACCAGATTTACAACTGCGTGTTTCTGTTACCCAATATCCATTTTGCTTTATATGGTTCTACTTCCAAAGTTTAATAAATTCTTTGATTAATTGTTTCTGTAAATATTTAGTGTTAATCAAACAATGTGATATTCATGTTAATAATTAAAGATACTAAATGTCATTTTATTATTTACTGTATATAGACATGGAGGTATAATTTGTGAAACAAGAATTAATTGATTGTAAACTACAATTTTTGGAACTCATTCATTCATTTGTATATTCACTCTGGTAATGGAATTTTGGTGAGACTATAATTTATGGATGACTTTTGAGAGACTCTGAAGTGACCTTGAGAATGAACACTTAATAACTAGGACTAAATAAGGGTTATAAAACAATTAGAATTATGATTTACAGTTGATGGTTAGGGTTAAAAATTGGATTTAAGATTTTCATCATGAACTGACATCAACTATAATGTTAAAACTCTATTTAGCCAAATGGATGAGTGAATTTCGTGCCAAAATCCGAGACGTGTTATCTTATACCTGATTGGTTGGTCCATAAATTATAGTCTCGTCGGAATTTTAATATTCTTTATCATAATTTAGTATTTTTTTAAACATAATTTTATTTGTATACCTAATGATATGATTACAATTTTCAAATTAATCGTTTATCTTTTAGATCAACATGATCAGTATTTTGACAAACCAGATCATTCTCAACTGTTGCGTAAAAATATTGATGAACTATATAATACTGATGAAATAAAATACGTACCATATGAGATTTCACATGTAAAAGCATTTTCTCAAAAGCCGTTAATGTCTAGCAGAGAGTATAGTATTCATTTGTCTCCAACTAGTGATATGAGAAGAACTGATGAGCATCAAAGTTTAGAAAATGTGACTCCTAAATATAACGTAGATTTTGTCAAAGATGAAAGTGAAACGCCATACTATCAGTTACGTGATATGAATACTCCTGATTTTTACACCGCGTCGTATACGGATACCAAAACAGCTGGACAAAAACGTCCTTTGCAGCTTCCTCATCAACATTCAATTCCTATTTTCACAAAACAAAGAGACATTAGAGGTGAACCATTATGGGGACTAAGAAATATGCCTCATTTAACACGAAGTCCTAGTGTCGAATATACTTCAAAGTATTCTCCTTGTGAACAGTTTTTAAAGCGACAACCATATGGTTATGATACCCCACTAATTAAAAATAGATCTAATCTTCATCCAAATCCCTGTAGTTCAATATTTTACCCTATTCCACCTCCATCAGGTTCACACATATCAAATCTCAAAGCTCATAGATCATTTGACACTAATGAAAGCTTAGAAATATTTCCACATGAATTCACATCTAACATGCATTTTCAACCAGTGCCTCCACCGACAAATTATGACTGGGAAGCAAAGTATGCTGATAAGTTGTACAGTCATCAAATAAATGAAGAATCAATTGTTAAAAGTACAAATATAGGTATAAATCAACCTTCAAATTTTGCATCCACTTCACATTTTGATGATTTTAAATTAAAGAAATCTTCTATGCATTTTCTTACACCACAATTAAAAAGACATTGTATACCGCATACTATTACAACACAAATAAAAAGACCTAAAAGACAAATTCATGCAACTGTAATAAATATTAATAATGATCCTAATATATTTGAATGTAATACTACCACAAATATAATCTCAACTACAAATAATACTTGTACAAATGTTATTTATACAAGATCATATGAATTATCATCCAATATTTCATCTTTACATTCTGCTGACTTTCATAATCTACAACAAAAACTAAATGATTCTTCTATTTCTTCCTCATTATTTCCTCAATATTACAATTATATACCAAAAACAGATTATCATCCAATACAATATAATGATGTATTAAATGAAAAATCAACATTGAATCAACCAGAAAATTCATCATCATGTTCAAATGATAATAATAATAATGATGATGATGTGATTTAAACAAACTCTTATTATTACTATTATTATTATTATTATTAATGCTATGAAATTCAATATCTGTTTTTTTATATGATACAGTTACGTAATAATCATATGTAATATATATATTTTTGGAAAATATTTAATAATACTACTAACGATAATTATCAGTAATGTAATTTCACTTATGGTTTATGAATTCAAATTAGCTTCCTATTTTTATCACTTATTATCTAAGTGATTTGTATGAATATTTTTGTGTATAAACAATCAATTAACCTATTTCATAATTCATAATCAACAAATAAACCAATGAATAAATAAATTAAATTAATTTATGAAAAAAAAATTTGTTTATTTTTTTCTTCTATAGTTACTAAATATCAATTTTGGAAAATTTTGTGTACATTTTAGTATTCTCAAAGATGCATTCACAAGTCAATCTCATCATTGGTAACTTGAAAATATTGAATAAACGTTTAGTGCTATTATAAAACTCCTCGGTCGTGCACATTCATGATCCCTCATGTGAGACTGGAATTCAGGACCTTTGGTATCATATGTGAACGCTTAATCTCTAGACTATTGAGTCGAAATTCAATCTCTACAAATCCCTATTCTGATAATAATTAAAATTTTCAATGAAATCACTTACTAACATATCAACCAAATTATTTTCTAAATATATTAGTTCCAGATTATTTATATTTTGTAATTATTATTATTATTATCACAATCATATCTATACCTATTTTTAAACCATCTAATTGTCCGAGAATGAAATAATGAATATTTTAAGAATAATAATAATAAGTCCACCATCTTATCTCAACATAGTGCACACGATGTCGAGTCACCTAGACTAGTTGCCACATTGCAACTTGGTCGAGAGGATTCCATTCGCACTGAGAAGTACCTGACACACATAAAATTGATCAACGCCCAGTGATCATTCAAGTGTAATTACATCTCAGTCCTCCAGAAGGTCAGTCGAAGCCCGGATAGCCTAGTGGTAACGTTTCTGACTGCGAAGCTGGATGACACGGGATCGAATCCGTCAGGTAGCACCAGTTCCCTCAAGATAATAGGTACACCTTGCTGATGAGTGTCAAATATCACGAAACCTAGATCCATAGTTTACTGTCGACTACCTCCAACCACCATCGTAATAAGTCCACTTTATGTATTAATTACTCTAAACTGGAAAAAAAATATCAAAACCGATTACCGATAGTATAGGGTATAAGTATAGGTCTTAATCCTTCTTTATTTCAGCAAACAGACGGGAAATTAGAACTGAGCTTGAGAGTCAGATCTCACTCGGTTCGATTAGATTGTGATCTACAAAACCCAGATCATGTGATCTGTTAGGCTTTTAAATAAGATTTTAATCATGCTTATTTTTGTGTTAAACAGGTTGCATTACATTGTACTATTTTTACACAGTCTTTTGATATCCATACATTATAAAAGAACCTTTTACGAACAATTTTATTTTTCTAAGTACTTTAAATAACATACATTCAGGGAACCAAATACACAAAATTTGTGAAAATAGAATTTTTAGCATAAGAATCATACCAGCTCTAAGCAAGTAGACTCGTTTGATAGCTCGTTATAAACAAACGAATTAATTTTTAAAAAAAGCATCCGGGACTGATTTTACTGATAAAAAAACATATTTTTAAACTTTCATAGTTTAACTGATAAAATTGCCCTGGCTAAATAATCGTTGGAAATCAAGTAGCATTTGAGAGCTATTTTCTTCTAGTATACGATTTCTCAAGAATGTCCATCGACACCAACACTAAGGGCTAAACCTCTGAACCTGAAATATTAGTTGCGCAACACCATGGATTGATTAAAATAAAAAAAAACGTCAAGATCTGAATAATGAACAAGTGATTGAAAGTCAAGCGCTGACCAAACTTTCGTGAATGTACAATTCAGGAATCTTCCGTACCGAGATGAAACAGATTTTCAGTGCTTCCTGATCAGTCTTTGTTGTTAACTATAAAATTTAAAAAATCCTATAAACTCCTTATACGAATATATTCTGATATTTCGTCATTCTGTCAATCAATTAACTAGTACTCAATGATGTTTTATCGGACCCAAGAGATCAATGTTTTTTCATTAAACCAGGAACAATAAAAAAATAATAATTTAGATGAAACAACATAAATTTTTTTCTGATTTTAATAAGTGGCGAGACTATTATTTACGTGCGAATCAATCAGATATTACATAACAGGTTTTTGATTCTGGCGTGAAATTCATTCATCCATTTATCTAAATAGCGTTTTGCATTTTGGCTGATATTAGTTCATGATTATAAACCTAAATCTACTTCCTAACCCCAACCATCAACTGTCAATCATTTCTAATTCCTTACACTGCTTTATCACCCTTGTTTAGTCTTAGTTAGTAAATGTACATTCCCAAGGTCACTTCAGAGTCACTCGAAGGTCATCCATAAGATATAGTCTAACCCTTAAATAATTAAATATTATGTTCTAAAAGAGGAATTATCAGAAAGGTCCATTAGTAAAGATAAATAATAAACGAGTAGAATTAAATGGGTTATAAAAATTCAAATGTAAAACTGTGTTAAAAGTGTGTAGTAATTCCATTCCACTACTGTATTATTTATTTGCTCGTTGTAATTTAGACACTTGATTCACCATGTAATTTTTTGTGTGTTGGATTGAGCACATGTCAATTTTTAATCTATTCTTCCATCGATTGTAATACACAGACAATCAATAATTTATCTATACTTGATTAACACTCATATATATATATATATATATATATATATATATATATATATATATATATAAATGGATTTTTGAACGCACTCACTCACTCACTCACTGACACTCACTCACACACATACACTTGTGTTTCCCCTGCGTGCTTGCTTGCTGTATGCTTGCGGATTTTGACAATCTTTAACAAAAAACTATCTCTATAACTGATGTTTGGGCTTTTGAATAATCTCGAGTAGATCCATAATTCTACTACGAGATTTAGCCTGTGTTAAATAAACATTTAACGAGATACAATATATTGGAGTCAGATTAAGAAGAACTTTGCCTCAACAAACTTGGTGAGCCACACCAAAATGGTGAGCATCAACAAGTTAATCATAATTGATTCAAATTAAAATCGAACATATCATTACATAATCATCAAATTACAAAGTTTTATCACTACTCTTTGTTGACCTGGTATATTTATTTATTAATTGGTTACCCTTGATTTCTACTAATTGTGTTCATTTTATTTCCGAAGATATATATATATATATATATATATATATATATATATATATAAAGGATTTTTTTTTTCTCTGGACAATCAGTTAAACACTTGAATCATCTTAAATATATTAACATAAGTGAATAGTAAAACGATTGATGAGTGAGATTTACCAAACTCACTTCCGGGTTTCCATATTTCTTCAGGTACATATCTACATATAACACGAATTGATTTGTGACAAGAAGATTGAACTAATGATAACATAATGAGAGAATAACAATTGCATATTATAAACGTATAGTTTGATATAAAGATTTACTGGATGAAGGTAGTATATACTTCCTATATCTTTCAATAAAATTTCCAATTAAAATCTTTGATCTTATTGATGAAATGATTGAGAAGTATGCCTAAACACTCAAGCGTTTCAGCACAGTTCACACGTCCATAAAATTCACATGGGAGATGGAAAATGAGGGTAGAATAGCCTTTCTAGATGTTCTACTTACAAGGAGGAAGGACGGATCGCTAAAAAGAAACATAAACAGAAAAATTACCTGGACGAGTCAATATACAAACTTTCTTAGTTTTGTTGCTCTACATTACAAAAGGAACCTTATTAAGACACTGAATCATAGAATCAAGACTATATGCTCTGTGGATACGATTGAAGATGAAACAAAGTCATTATACATAACCCTGAAGGAAAATGGATATCCCGAGAAATTTACAAGTAAAAACATCGTCAATAAAAGACAATATAGAGAATGCCCAACTGTAAATAAAAAGTCTCTGTATATACGCTTACAATTCAGAGGCGATGCACCGAGTGAAATGCTAAGACTTAAGCAGATCAATTCAAAGGACTTTTAATGCAGGTAAACTACAACAAATGTTCTCCATACGACCAATAATCACTTCGAGGTTGAAAGTTACCTAGACTAGCCACCTCCTGTATCTATCAATCCAACTGCTCCTGTGGAGCAAGTTATATTGGCAGATGTTCCAGGGATTTTTTCGTTCGGATTCGTGAGCACCTCCCCGTGTGGTTAAGCAAAGGTGTAGTCAAAACTGTTAACAGCTCCATCTTAGACCATCTTGTTCAGACAGGACATACAGCCAAAATGGAGCAATCTTTTGCAATAATCTGTCGTGTTAACAGCAGTCTACCTAATTCCGTCAGACTGCGAATCCTAAAGACGGCTGAAGTAATTGCTATTCGGATCAAAAAGCCAGAGCTTTGCATCTATAAGAAGTATGTTCAACCACTCCTTTTACCCTTACCAACTAGTTAATAATTAATTTTATAATATGTTGACGTGATTTGATTAATATTCATTTTATGTCCCAAATTTATTATTATTATCCTTATGACTGTGAATAACATTGTTATTATTATTATCATTACACTTGATAACCTTTTTGAGGAATTTTGTAGTGTAAGTAATGATGGATAGTAGCTAGCAGTGGAATCCAGGATGCGCGTTTCGTCCTATTTGGGGCTCGTCAGCTGGATGTACCAGCATCTCAGAGTTGATGTTCACTTTGGGACTCGGACTCAGTATCATTCGCTTCAAACGCCATCGCGTTATTCACTCAGCTACTGAGTCCTGATAGCCACTTGCTTGTGCAATGGGGTGAATTTAAATTCACTTGGTATTGGTTGTCTTGTATCTTCCCATTGAGTTTTAAGACTGCAATTGTTCAGTCTGTTATTGGCATTTGTGCATACTGTGCATATGCCTCGATATTGCCTTAATTCACAAGCTTTTTGTAGTGTAAGCAATGGATGCCACTGCTAGCTACTATCCATCACTGTTTACACTACAAAAAGCTTGTGAATTAAGGCAATATCGAGGCATATGCACAGTATGCACAAATGCCAATAACAGACTGAACAATTGCAGTCTTAAACCTCAATGGGAAGATACAAGCCAAACAATACCAAATGAACTTTTTGAGAAATTTATTCAATATCCACCCTTAAATCTACTATATCTGACCTAATTCATATTATTCTACATAGTACGTAATTTCCGATTTTTATCCCAAAATTTTTTCTCTCACCCCATG